ACACGTAGCCACCTATCGGAGGGGCTTCAACGCACGACCCTGCGAACCATTATGAGATTCCGGACCTGTATATACGACCGTGTATATACACTACTGCTGTGTGTGTGTGTGTGTGTGTGTGTGTGTGTGTGTGTCTGTTATGAAAGAACTAGTGCGCAATTGATATTGCGCATATACGCATGGCTGCCAACTGTTGCGCCAAAAAGTATAGATAGCGGGAAAATTCAAATCATTTTCAAAAAAAGTTCTATACAAAAATAATAGTAATGGAAAAAACAATTATTATAAATAAATATATATTTACATAATATATATTTATACAATACATTTATCACATACATTTATATATATATATATATATATATATATATATATATATATATATATATATATATATATCAGCAATAATGTCATAAAACGTTTTTTACACTAAACGTTTTTATTTAACTGTTTACAAAATAATTAAAATTTTTTTCTAATTATACTAACAAACTGTTTATTATTATTTACTAACAACTATTTTATTATTAATAATAAAACATGTTTATTTTATTTTGTTAATATAATTTTTATAATTTTAAAAATATTTTAGAAATTAAAATTTTTAAATGTTAAAAATATTCCAAGGGAAAATATTCTTTTTTTTAAATGTGTAAATAAATAAAAATATTTTACTGAAAATCGATATTTGACCTAAATGATATTATTATTAAATAATAATAATACTGATAAAAAAATAAAAAATTACCGACATAGAAATCTACCCTACCGAGTGAAGGTAAAACAGTTTTTTTTTGGAAAAATGAAAATATAAAAATTACTGACACAGAAATCAACCATACCGACTGATGGTAAAGAAATATTCTTTGAAATGAAAATATAAAAAATTACCGACATAGAAATCTACCCTACCGACTGATGGTCAAACAGTTTTTTTGAAAAAGAAAATTTAAAAATTACCGATATAGAAATCTACCTTACCGACTGATAGTAATTGCTGACTGTTGGTAAGACCGTTTTAAAAAGTTGGTAAAATTTCGAAAAAAATTCTTTACCGTCAGTTGGTAGGGTTGATTTATGTGTTGGTAATTTTTTATATTTTCATTTTTCTAAAACCTGTTTTACCATCAGTCGGGAAGGTAGATTTCTATGTTGGTAGTTTTTAAAATTTTTATTTTTTCGAAAAAAAAAGTTTTGCCATCTGTCGCTAAGGTATATTTTTATGTCGGTAATTTTTTACATTTTTAATTTTCAAAAAAAAAGTGTTTTACCGTCAGTCGGCAAGGTTGATTTAAGTTGCAATGAAGTGAAAATGAAGTGATGTGAACTAAAGGTAAATATCAATTGAATTGAAAAATAATTGAAAGTAAGGTTAAGAAAAATGGAAGTGACGTGAAGTGAATGTAACTATTAATTGAATTGAAAATGAAGCGATAATAAATTGAAAGTAAGGTAAAGTGAAAATGACGTGAAATAGAAATTGAATATTAATTGAATTAAAAAATGAATTGATAATGAATGAAAAGTCAGGTTAAGTGAAGGTAAATATCAATTGAACTGAAAATAAATTGAAAATGAAGTGATAATGAATTGAAAGTGAAGTGAAATTGATGTATAAATGAAGTGAAGTGTAGGTATATATCAATTAAATAGAAAATGAAGTGATAAGTAATTGAAAGTGAGGCTAAGTAAAGAAAATAATATCAATTGAATAGAAATTAAATTAAAATTGAATTGAAATTACCGACATAAAAATCTACCTTAGCGACAGATGGCAAAAAAAATTTTTTTCGAAAAAATGAAAATTTAAAAAACTACCAACATAGAAATCTACCTTGTCGACTAATGGTAAAACAGGTTTTAGAAAAATGAAAATATAAAAAATTACCAACACAGATATCAACCCTACCAACTGACGGTAAAGAATTTTTTTCGAAATTTTACCAGCTTTTTAAAACTGTCTTACTAACAGTCGGCAATTACCATGTAAAGAATGAAAATTTGATTTATTATTGTTATTATTTTTTGGGTTGGTAACTTGTGTTTCGAAATTTTTTATTGTTTGTTCTATAAATTAAAATTAATTCACGATCAGATGAGCTGAACTGTTTAGGCATTCAGTGGGTGAATAAAAGGCTGAACTGTTAAGACATTCAGATATATGACTAGGACTGAACTGTCTGGGCATTCAGTCCCTAGTAAAAAAGATCAAAGGCTGAACTGTTTGGGCATTCAGTCTTTATCGACGAAGTAAAAATAATTATTTTAAAATTGTAATTTGTAAAATAGGAAAAATTTCGTATTTCGAACAATAAAAGGATAATAATAAACAGAGATAACCTTGTCGAAAGGTTTGGGTTTTTCCCCGACTGTTTGGCGCCTGCAGTATGGGAAACTAATTAAAATTTCAGGTAACCGGATTGTGTTAAAGGAGAAGGAGAAGAAGAAGAAGAAGAAGAAGAAGGGGAAGAAGAAGAAAATTACTATCAGATTGTTATGAGAGTTCAGTTTAAATGTGTACGCGGATAAAGTTGTGTTAAATAAAATTCAAAAAAATAAAAACTGTTTGTTCATTCATTTCAAATGGTGCCGAAACCCGGGAATCTTTATCCGGTAGTGAAACAAACAGATAACGTGTACGTATATTGTGTTAAAAGTGCTAGTGATTGTGTTTAATTTATCCCTTTGGTGTTGTGTTTAAATAGTGTTAAATATTTGTGTTTTAGGAATTGTTTACTTCATTGAACTAAAATTAATATTAATGTAATATAGAACATATTATAGTTTTATTCTGCGTAAAGAGTTTGAAAAGTAGTGTATTTCGTGTCACATCTTTCACAATGTCTACAGTTTCATCAAATACCCGCCCTGGAGGAAGACCTATAATAAAAGAAGTTGTCACAAATCAACAGGATACAAGATCTTCTGTAGTTGAGACACAAGATAATCAAGAGCGACAATCAACATGTGGACCAAGTGATGATACCATACCAATGTCAAATTCATCCAATTCAGCGAGTATCAGAAGTTCAAGAAAACGTCGTCTGATAGTGGATGCAGCTGAAGAAACAGCTAAATTGAAAAGAGCTATGCTTCAAGAAAGAGAGAAGATAGAATTGGAGTTGATTAACGCCAAACTATCTGCGGGACTAAAGGATATCGAAACTGATGAATGTTCAGAAGTAATGATTAACGAAAATCAGACGAGATCTAAAGAACATTGTGATGTATACGTTAATCGTTGGAGAGAAGAATCCCGTCCATATTGGGAAGGGCAAGACGAATTCGACAGGCCTTCAGACACACAGGCGGAGCGTTTAAAAGTTATTAATAACAACAGATTACCAAATACAGAACTTGATTCACGATTATTACTTAGCAGGTTAACTGCAGCTAAAGGACTTCCAGAATTCTCAGGAAATACTCTGGAGTGGCTCCGATTCAAGCAAGCCTACGAAACATCCACTGAAGTAGGAAAATACTCAGAAAAAGAAAATATATCGCGGTTATATGACTCGTTAAAAGGTAAAGCGAGGGAAGCTGTAGATGCACTGATGTTAACAGCGAGCAGCCCACAGATAATTATGCAGACCTTAGAGTTGAGATTTGGCAACCCTGAGAGTATAATTCAAAAAGTCATACAAGACATAAAAGCTTTGCCAAAAATGCAAGCTGGAAAAATCGATCTTATTTCGTTTGCAACAAAGATACGTAATGGAGTGGCAGCCATACAAGCGTTGAACCACGTTGGACATTTACATAACCCCAGTGTAGTATCAGAAATTATTTCAAAAATGCCCAGCGGATTAATTTATGGATACAATCGCTACATAAGCGAACATAATAAAGATAAACCAAAATTGATTCTTTTATCTGAATACTTATATAAAGAAGCTCAAATGGCTTGCCAAGCTGGGACCAACAAATTTCACGAAAATCTGACAACCTTAAATAACCGAACAACTAACCCTCCTCACCGAAAATCACAATTGAAACCGCAAGCAGTGATGGTCACTACGTCACAAGAACCCACTAGGAAAGATAAATCGACACATAATAGTGACAAAATGTCTAAAAAGGAATGTGGATTTTGCCATAAAATCGGCCATAAGATATATAGATGTTATGGTTTTAAAGACTTAAAATTGTGTGATAAATGGAAATGGGCTAAAGAAAATAAAGCTTGTTTTAAGTGCTTAATGAAAGGTCATTTGAGTGAAAAATGTAAAGGATTAAATTGTCGAATCGCAGGATGCGAAAGGAATCATAATAGTCTGTTGCATAATCCTAAAGAAGATAAAGAAGTAAAAATGCCTGAAGAATCTGAGAAATGTCAGGAAGAAAATCAACAAAGCTGACTAAGCGGTGGCCAAGGGATGTTGAAAATACTTCCAGTTACATTGATAGGACCAATAAAGTCTATTCAGACATACGCTTTACTGGATGACGGATCAACAATTACATTAGTGGATTCAAAACTAGCAAATGGTATTGGAGCAAATGGTCCGTCAATAAATATTAGTATTAAAGGCATAGGAGACGCAGGTCATGTTGAGACTACAAGTAAAAGGGTATCATTAACCATACGGGGAGAATTCGGACAATATAATTTACATAATGTTACTGCTATACCCAAACTAAATCTACCAACTCAAACTATTGAAGAACGAGCTATATTTGAATTACACCAACATGATGGTGAACGTCTACAGTCATACGTGAACGCCAAACCCTTAATTCTCGTCGGACAAGATAACTGGGAACTCCTTGTAACTCACGAAACAAAGTTAACAGACAATAGGTCATTAATTGCATCAAAAACGTTGTTAGGTTGGGTAGTCCACGGACGAACAAAAAAGGATAACAAAGAATTCAATATAACACTATCATGTTCCGAAAATAAAAAAAAATACGAAGACAAACAGTCATTGTAAACAATTCGATGAATCGGACACAAGCCTACATGACATGGTGAAAACCAAAGATTTCTTTGGAGAGGTATGGACAGGAAGCGGGAACCAGATGAGTATATTATGACATCACTTATATTCGGATCTAAATCATCGCCTACTAGCGCTATATACGTTAAGAACAAAAATGCAGAGACCTACAAAGATGCTATGCCTGAAGCCGTGGAGTCAATAATAAAAAATAGTTATGTCGATGATTTCTTGGACAGTTACCAAACACCAGAGGAAGCAATGAAGATTATCAATCAGGTTTCCGAAATTAATCACCAAGCAAATTTTCATATGCATACATGGGTCAGTAATAACAAAGAAGTGGTGAAAACTCTCCCATCAAATGATACGACAAACATGAAGAACATAAAACTTGATTTATCCACATCCACACATAGTAAATATGAGAAGGCACTTGGATTGAGATGGGAGACAACAACAGACATGCTTAAATTCAACGTCAACATACAAACTGTGTCACCAAAATTACTTGAAGGGAAAATTATTCCCACTAAAAGAGAATTTTTAAAAGTAATTATGTCGATTTATGACCCACTAGGATTTATATCTCCTGTTACAATAAAATCCAAAATTATTCTGCAAGATGTGTGGGCAAGTGGTGTCAAATGGGATGAAAAAATTCAAGAAGCTGAATTTAAAGCCTGGAAGATTTGGTTGAATGAACTTCTACAAGTAGCTAAGTGTTCCATTCCTCGATGTTACACATCAAAATACGGTATGAAGAAAGTAACTGAGCTACACATATTTTGTGACGCCAGCATAAAGGCATATTCCGCAGTCGCATATTGGAAATTTCAATTTGAAGATGGGACAATAGAGACAAATATTATTATAAGTAAAAGCAGAGTTGCACCGCTCAAACCAATATCTGTACCAAGACTCGAATTACAAGCTGCTCTATTAGGAAGTCGCTTAGCGAGATCCATCGAAGCGGAACACACCATAAAGGCTGACCGACGTGTGTTCTGGAGTGACTCCCGTACTGTTCTAGCGTGGATAAAAACTAACCCAAAAATTTATCACACCTTTGTGGCCCATCGGTTGGGCGAAATATGTGAGCTGACGAATATTGCCGAGTGGAGATGGATACCAACGAACTTGAACCCAGCAGATCATGCGACACGCTCAACGAGTCCTAGAATTGACACTAACACGGAATGGTTTACCGGACCTGCCCTTTTGAAGTCAGAAAATATTACATTGCCAAATGAAGATCATTTCATTGATGAAGATCACCTAGGAGAAATAGAAAAGGAGCGGAAATCAGCAGTGGTTCTGACTTGCCATGCGCAGCCAAGTATTCCGGAAGCTAATCGATTTTCAAGTTGGAAACGATTATTAGGAAGCACAGCATGTACCTTGCTAGCAATAGAGAAATGGAAAAGGAAAAGGAACACGCAGTTAACCGTAAATCATTACACCAGGGCAGAAACTTCGCTATTTAAAGAAGTACAAAGACAAAGTTTCCAGAAGGAAATATCCGCAATACGGAAAAGGAATCAAGTTGAGAAGAATAGCTCAATAAAATCTTTGATGCCAAAACTAGATAGTGATGGGTTAATCAGAGTATGTGGTCGAATACCCAGTAACTCAAGACTGGAAATAGAAAACGAGCCTATCATCCTAGATGGAAATCATCAAATTACCCGTTTGTTGATAAAGGAATATCACATCAGGATGAAACATGGTAACAATAATACTGTTATCAATGAGCTACGTCAGAGGTTCTGGATAACCAAGTTAAGAGCAACTTTAAAATCGATAGTTACAAAATGTGTATTCTGCAAATTGCGAAGGGAGAAACCAAAAACACCATTGATGGGTAATTTACCAGAGGCACGATTGGCTTACCATCTACGACCGTTTACACACTGTGGAGTGGATTACTTTGGCCCAATGTGGGTGGCCGTAGGTCGAAGAAGAGAGAAAAGATGGGGTGCTTTGTTCACTTGGATGACCACAAGAGCCATACATCTTGAAATAGTCCACACTCTTACATCAGATTCAACTCTACTGGCCCTACGCCGATTGATCGCACGAAGAGGACAACCGCGAATTATGTATTCGGACAATGGGACCAACTTTAGAGGACTAGACAATGAATTGAGAGCAAAATTGAAAACTTTAGATACTGAGATACAAACTAAATTTGCTATTGAAAATAATATTCAGTGGAGGTTCATACCACCAGACACGCCTCATATGGGAGGCGCTTGGGAAAGGATGATCAGGTCCGTAAAGGTGTCATTATCAATTATATTGAGAGAGCAAGCACCTCGCGAGGAAGTGTTACTGACATTGTTTGCCGAAATAGAGCAGTGTGTCAATTCAAGACCACTCACACATGTTTCACTCAATCCCAAGGATGAAGAAGCACTAACTCCTAACCATTTCCTCATAGGAACCTCCTCTAGCCAAACACTGAATTCCCGATTTGATATGCTTGCCGAATGCAACTGGTCCCAATGGAGAAAGGTTCAAAATTTTGCAGATGCCTTTTGGAAGAGATGGTTGAGAGAATATTTGCCAACATTATTGCCACGGCAAAAATGGACAACGGAAAGCAATCCTTTGGAAATAGGCGATGTCGTATTAATAGCAAATACTCAAGAGCCAAGAAACTCATGGCCGAAAGGAGTGATTGAAAAGGTGTATCCTGGTACTGATGACCGTATTCGCGCAGTGACAGTAAGAACAACGAAGGGTACCTTTATCCGATCATCCAATAAATTAATTCGCTTGATAAAGGCATCAGAAGTACAAGGACCTTGATCCTTGTACTTGGGTGGAGAATTGTAAAGAATGAAAATTTGATTTATTATTGTTATTATTTTTTGGGTTGGTAACTTGTGTTTCGAAATTTTTTATTGTTTGTTCTATAAATTAAAATTAATTCACGATCAGATGAGCTGAACTGTTTAGGCATTCAGTGGGTGAATAAAAGGCTGAACTGTTAAGACATTCAGATATATGACTAGGACTGAACTGTCTGGGCATTCAGTCCCTAGTAAAAAAGATCAAAGGCTGAACTGTTTGGGCATTCAGTCTTTATCGACGAAGTAAAAATAATTATTTTAAAATTGTAATTTGTAAAATAGGAAAAATTTCGTATTTCGAACAATAAAAGGATAATAATAAACAGAGATAACCTTGTCGAAAGGTTTGGGTTTTTCCCCGACTGTTTGGCGCCTGCAGTATGGGAAACTAATTAAAATTTCAGGTAACCGGATTGTGTTAAAGGAGAAGGAGAAGAAGAAGAAGAAGAAGAAGAAGGGGAAGAAGAAGAAAATTACTATCAGATTGTTATGAGAGTTCAGTTTAAATGTGTACGCGGATAAAGTTGTGTTAAATAAAATTCAAAAAAATAAAAACTGTTTGTTCATTCATTTCAACCATCAGTCGGTAAGGTAGATTTCTATATCGGTAATTTTTAAATTTTCTTTTTCAAAAAAAACTGTTTGACCATCAGTCGGTAGGGTAGATTTCTATGTCGGTAATTTTTTATATTTTCATTTCAAAGAATTGAATTGAAATTGAATTGAAATTGAATTGAAATTGAATTGAAATTGAATTGAAATTGAATTGAAATTGAATTGAAATTGAATTGAAATTGAATTGAAATTGAATTGAAATTGAATTGAAATTGAATTGAAATTGAATTGAAATTGAATTGAAATTGAATTGAAATTGAATTGAAATTGAATTGAAATTGAGATTGACGTGAAAATGAAGTGAAGTGAAATTGAATTAAAATAAAATTAATAGTGAATTGAAAAAAAGTTAAGTAAAGTGAAGGTAAATATCAATTGAAATGATAATGAATTGATAATGAAGTGAAAATGATGTAAAAGTGACGTGAAAATGTAGTGAAAGTAAAGTAAAAATGAACTTACTAATAAGCACACCAGTACAAAATTTAAGCATTAAACAACAATTACAGTTGTCTCAAAATTAATTTTCCATATCCAATTAATAAAAATTTCTCCCAAAAAAGTAAGAATCGACGCCAAATAGCCAGCAATTAATAATCCATAAATCAAAAATTTAATTTTCAATCTCTCAATACGTTCCGATTTGTCAGACAATAATTTTTCTTCATCCTCTTCCTTTGATGAAATCACATCATTATAATTTCTATTATAATTAATTAATGATGCCTCAATCAATAATCTGTAGAATTTCTCAAATTTTTCAACAAACGGCGAACCAGGTTCCATTAAAATTCCACTTGTTGTAGAGTACAAATATTCTTCAAGAATTTTCATTTTTCCTTTCACATTCTTCGATTGCAATTTCCAATTGACAATAGACAATTTATTAATACATCCAATCTTTTTTTGGGTGAGTAAAATTTTAATACAACTCTCAGTTGACATTAATTTCATTTCTCTTTTTCTCCACATTCTTGATAAATCATTAGAATTTGAACCATTTATCCAATTTAACACTTGTTTATCCTCAATACTTGCAATTAATTTTGATTTATTAAAATCCCTCAATGTATTTATTTGCTCTTTTAATTGCATTTGAAAATTTAAATCCGTCAATGAACTAAAGAAATTACACGAATAGTAAAAGGAAATAATGATAAATGAAAGAAATATAATTCTTTCCTTTAGTTTCTTAGGTTGTTGAGTTAATGAAATTCCAAATAAAATTTGTATAATTACTGTCATATTCCAAATTCTCTTGTCAAAATGAAAACAGTATTCAATTAACCAACTGGAAAATATAATCATCAATGTTAATAGAATTGAATAATAAAATGTTGATCCATGATAAAATCCAATTGATTTTGATTCAAAAATTGGAACAATCATTGCAAAATGATCTAAATTTTGAAAAACAAATTCATTAATTTTTTCCCCACAAATTGTATCAAGTGACATAGATCTTACAGCAATGAAATTTATTTCATTGTAAAACAATTTTTGTAAATAACCAGATGTCAATTTTCTATTGCAACTGAAATTTCCAAATAGTTCTTTATCCGTTCGTATAAGGGTTATTTTAAAATTCAACATTTTGGAGAATAATTTCATTGCTAATGCATCTGGTCCGGATAATTGAATTTTTGTTTTATTTCTAACGTCAAGAAAAGGTGGACGAGTGAATGCTCCAATTTTCAGTGGATATCCATTTAAATTTTTCAGCTTGTTGGGAAATAATTCCGTTATCGGCAAAAACGATTTGTTACTGTAAGTATTCTGAAATGGATTCAATTGATAAATTACGTATTCATTTTGATAAACATCAAGAATTGTAATGTCGAGAAATAAATGTTTCCACATTTTTTGAAGAAATTCTCTATAATTATTGTTGGTTTGACGAGAATTTAAGAAACGAAGAATTAAACATTTTGGTCGTAAATGAATTGTTGATGATTTTTTAATAAAATCCATCATCTTCTCCGTCCATTGTGTACAATTATTATTGTTTTCTGATGATTCCAAAATTAAGAATAGAGTTTGTCGTCGATTAATTAGGGATTTAGTTTTTTCACTAAATTCCAATTTCTCATCATTAATTTGTATGTTTGGTAAATTTTCCTGTAATTTTCTATTTATTTTCAAAACATTTGGATTTTTATTTTCATCATTAATTATCAATATGGTTTGATAAACTTTTACATTCTGTTCAATAAATTTAATAATCCTTTGATGCCATTTCTTTTGGTTAATTTTTTCTTGATTCGTTTCGATGATTTGGGAAATTATTACAGCGTAAAGAATTAAATACAATGGTTTCATAATTTTCTTTTCCACCAGGAAAAAAAAGGTGTTTTTACGATGGTATTTCTACAAAAACTGTTTTTTTTTTTGCAAATACTTTTTGTTTTGAAATTTTCTTTTACGTTTCTTAGCAACTTTAGCCAATTGTAGGAAAATGTGTTTTTGTTATCAAGATAAAATATTTATAGTTGAGATATAAACGGAGTTCAAGGTGAAAATATTTTTCTTCCATTTACCCAATGGCTAAAAGAAATTTAATTCTTTCCATAATTCTCGGCTTTTAGAAAACAATAAAAGCTTTGTTCGAAGAAGGAAAACTAATGTTGTGTCCCTTAGGATTTTACAGTGTTTTGCCATTCCAAAATTTTTTTCCAATTATTTTATAATCCGTTGAACAGATTTTGTATGATTTGCAAATCAAAATTTTCATTAAAATATAAAAAACCAAATATTAATTAAAGCTATGTATTCATACAGTTGACAAATAAGAAATAAAAATTATATGTATCTGTTAATCAATAACTCTCCAAAAAAGATTAAAATCGATGCACTATGCCCAAAAATAATAATCACAATTAGAAAAGTGGTAATATTAATATTCTCATTGTCTCCATTTTCTGAATCATTTTCCAAATTCGATTGACTTGTAGCAATTCTATTATCACGAACATTCCATTTTTCCACAAGTCCAACTGTTGATAATTGTAAATAAATATTATGAAATTTTTCAACATACGGAGATCCTGGTTCCATTAAAATTCCATTAGAACTCGAATATAAATAATCATCAAGATATTTCAATATTTTATCTCTATTGACAATTTTTGTTTCCCAATTTGCAACTGATTTCTTTGAAAGACAAGCAACATTTCTTTCTTCAAGTAAAATAGGAAGGCAATTTTTATGATAGACAATACGATCCATATTTTTCATCCACATTGTTAAATTTTCTTCTTTAATTATATTCATAAATATTGGAGCAGTATTTATTGATAAACTAATCTTTAAATTACTTTTCACTAAGTCTTTCAAATTGTTTATTTGTATTTCATTATTTAAATGAAATTGCATATCCGTTAATGAGGCAAAAAAATCCGATGACCAAATAAATGCAACAATTAAAAAAAACATGAAGCAACATCTTTCTTTGAATTTCTCAGGTTCTCTTTCGGTGGACATTCCAAATAATATCCGAACAATTACTGATTTATCCCAAATTGTTTTGTCAAAATTACCAAAATATTCGATACTCCAGCTTAGAGTAACGCACAATGCTATCAGAATAATTGAATAGTAAAATGAATTTCCAATAGAAAAGGAATATGATGACTTTGTAATAATTGGAACAATTAATACAAAATGTTCCATTTCATATTCCATATATTCATGAGCATCTACGGGACACAATGTTCTCATTGTTATTGATCTTCCAGCAACAAATTGAATTTTATGGTGAAATAAATCACTTAAAGATCCACCAAATTTCGAGGGATTACAACTAAATCTTCCAAAGCGATACTCAGCTGGTTGAATTGGCTCAATTGTAAAATTCATTTGACGTAAAATTGCTTCAATAAGCAATGCATCAGGTCCTGAAATTTTTATGTCATGATTCATTGAATTTTGTTTCATTTGTAAAAAAGGAGGAACATTAAAGACTCCCATTTTTAGTGGATATCCATTTAAATTTTCCAGCTTATCGGGAAATAATTCCATTTTGAAAAACGGTTTTCTAAGGTAAGTATTCCTAAATGGATTCATTAGATGAATTACAGATTTATTTTGGTAAACATCAAGAATTGTGACGTCGAGGAATAAATTATTCCACATCTTTTCGAGAAATGCTTTGTAATTTGTAGTATTTGAATTTGTAAAGCTGACAATTAGACATTTTGGTCGTTTAGTAGTTCCAGATAGTTTCTGAATAAATTCCATTAGTTTTTCAATTTTGGTAAAATTTTCCGAATCTTTCGGTGATGAGACTATTATAAAGAGTGTATCTTTGGGATTCTGCATAATTCTCATATTTTGATATTCCTTTTTGGTTCTTGTTTCGGTAGTAAATGAAGAATTCAAATACAGAGCAGGTAATTTTGTTTGAAATTCTTTTATTACTTGATCGAATGTTTGAATTTGCTCCTCCTTGTTTGTCATCAGTGTTATTTGATAAATCGTTTGATCATTTGTAACAGATTTTAGAATCTCTTTTAACCAATTTGTTTCATAGTCTTCAATTCTTAAGTCTCCGATTACTAACGCAACGATTGAGAAATATATTTGCAATTTGATGATCATATTTAAAATTCAGAAAGAAAATTTTAATTCAGATTTTAATTTAAAGAAGTATGGAATTGTGAATGTTACTTACAATTTTTTTTCCTCTTTTCGAATCCTTTTAGCCTTTTTTCTAGATTTTAAAACGAAGAAGTTATAAATTAAACAAAATTCGTAGATAATGTTTTCATAAATAGAGACTTTCTACTGTTTATAATGATGTAGACAAACTATAAGAAAAATTAATGCCTTATTGATTTCGAAATATTTTCCTGCTGCTCACGCTTTTAGAAAATTTAATCTACAAAATTTTTAATTTGTAAATGACAAAACTTTTCATAAATAATGATTATGATGAAAAATTTATTCTTACGCTTTGCAGAATTCTGATCTGTTGTTTTGAATCTGGTTTTACCTGATTGAGAATCTAAATTTTCATTAGATTCAAGAATCGAAGAGTTTATTTTGGGACAAATCTGTACGGTTTGATAAATCCGTTTGACAAATGAAATCTTTATTACTAATAACTGTTGTTATATTTTTTTTCAAAGATTCGATAATCAAAACTAATTTGGATTTTGGTAAAATTTTTCCAAATATCAATTCACCGAAAAATGTGGTAATTTAGGCAGCAAATACCATCAAAATTATTTCAAATTCATCAAAAATTGTAACGTCCAAAAATTAATCCTTCCACTTTGAAAGACTATTTCCTAATCGGTTGTTATAGTAGATTCAGTATCTAAGCAGAAAATTCTATCATTATTTCAAATTTAGCAAGAATGGTAACGTCACCAATAAATATTTCTAACTGAAGAATTTTTTTCCATTCTGATGCTAATCAATATTTTAAAACGGAAAAAAAAGAAAATTAAACAAACTTGCCAGTTGATGTTTTTTTAGTAATAGAGGCTTTCTGCTGTTTATGATAATGTAGTTAAACTATAGGAAAAATTAATGCCTAACTATTGATTTTAGAATATTTACTCGCACTTTTAGAAAACAATAAAAGCTTTGTTGGAAAAAGGAAAACGTTCTGTACCTTAGGATTTCATTTTGCCTTTCCTAATTTTTTTCCAATTAATTTATAATCCTTTGTACAGATCCTAGATTTTTGTGGCTGCAAATTAAAATTTTCATTAGAATATAAAAAACAAAATATCAATATAAACTGTATTCGTACAATTGACAAATAAGAAATAAAAAATTATATAAATCTGTTAAACAACAACTCTCCAAAAAATATTAAAATCGATGCACTATGCCCCAAAATAATAATCACAATTAGAAAAGTGGTAGTATTAATATTCTCATTGTCTCCATTCTTTGAATCATTTTTCAAATTCAATTGACTGTTAGCAATTCTATTATCACGAACATTCCATTTTTCCACCAATCCAACTGTTGATAATTGTAAATAAATTTTACGAAATTTTTCAACATACGGAGATCCTGGTTCCATTAAAATAGCATTAGAACTTGGATACACAGAATCATCAAGATATTTCAATAGTTTTTTTCTATTGACAATTTTTGTTTCCCAATCAGCAACTGACTTCTTTTTAAGACAAGCAACATTCCTTTCTTCAAGTAAAATAGGAAGGCAATTTTTATAAAAGACAATACGATCATTATTTTCAATCCACTTTGTTAAATTATCTTCTTTAATTATATTCATGAATCTTGAAGCAGTATTTATCGTTAAACTTATCTTTAAATTACTTTTCACTAAGTCATTTAAATTGTTTATTTGTATTTCATTATTTAAATGAAATTGCATATCCGTTAATGAGGCAAAAAAATCCGATGACCAAATAAATGCAACTATTAAAAAAAACATGAAGCAACATCTTTCCTTTAATTTCTCAGGTTCTTTATTACCGGACATTCCAAGTATTATACGTATAATTACTGTTTTATTCCAAATAGTTTTGTCAAAATTACCAAAATACTCAATCGTCCAGCTTAGGGTTACGCACAATGCTATCAGAATAATTGAATAGTAAAATGAATTTCCAATTGTAAGGGAATATGATGTTTTTGTAATAAGTGGAACAATTAGTATAAAATGTTCCATTTCAAATTCCATATATTCATGTTCATCTACGGGACACAATGTTCTCATTGTTATTGATCTTCCAGCAACAAATTGAATTTTATTGTGAAATAAATCACTTAAAGAACCAGTAAATTTCGAGGGATTACAACTAAATTTTCCAAATCGATACTCAGCTGGTTGAATTGGCTCAATTGTAAAATTCATCTGATGGGAAAATTCTTCAATAAGCAATGCATCCGGTCCAGTGATTTTTATCTCATGATTTTTTTTCATTAGAAAAAAAGGTGGAATATGAAAGACACCCATTTTTAGTGGATATCCGTTTAAATTTTTCAATTTGTTGGGAAATAATTCCATTTTGAAAAACGATTTTCTAGTGTAAGTATTCCTAAATGGATTCAGTAGATAAATTACAGATTTACCATGGTAAATATCAAGAATTGTGAAATCGAGAAATAAATTTTTCCACATCTTTTCGAGAAATGCTTTGTAATTTGTTGTATTGGAATTTGTAAAGTTGAGAATTAGACATTTTGGTCGTTTAGTAGTTCCAGATAGTTTCTGAATAAATTCCATTAGTTTTTCAATTATGGTAAAATTTTCCGAATCTTTCGGTGATGAGACTATTATAAAGAGTGTATCTTTGGGATTCTGCATAATTCTCATATTTTGATATTCCTTTTTGGTTCTTGTTTCGATTGTAAATGAAGAATTCAAATACAGAGCAGGTAATTTTGATTGAAATTCCTTCATCACTTGATCGAATGGTTGAATCTGTTCCTCCTTGTTTGTCATCAGGATTATTTGGTAAATTTTTCGATTATTTGTTACAGATTTAAGAATCTCTTTTAACCAATTTGATTCATAGTCTTCAATTCTCAAGTCTCCAATTACTAACGCAACGATTGAGAAATATATTTGCAATTTGATGAACATATTTGAAAATTCTAAAAGAAAATTTTAATCTTGATTTTAATTTAGTAGTATGGTTTAATTTAAAGAAATAAGTATTTATAATTTTTTATATTAATAATTTAATATACTTTTGCTGTTAATAATTGTACGAAATCTTTGTGCCGAAAACATTAATTTCTTGAAGCTTACTGCAATTACTTACAATTTTATTATTTAATTTGTTTCGAAATCAGTATTTGAATACGTCTTAAGAAAAAAAATTATAAACTACTATGTTCTGTAGTAGTTAAAATTTCATTTGTTTTCGTTATCAGTGACTATTTCTAACTGAAGTATTTTTTCTATTTTGTTGCTAATAAACAGTTTTAAACGGAAAATTTTATAAATTGTAGAAAATTGCCTGTTGCTATTTTTAGAAATACAAACTTTCTGCAATTTATATTGATGTTGTTACCCTATAGGAAAAAGTAATACCTAACTATTGATTTCGGAATATTGTTTAAAGTCCTTGTAATAATTACTCAATAATTCCAGTAAAATGCCGTATTGGGAATTGGGAAATGATATAATGAACAAGTTGTCACGATTTCTGAGCACATTTCCAAGAATAAGATTTTTTTGCCATTAATTTTATCATTTTCAATTTTTCTATCTTTTTTTTTTACTGTAAATACTTGTTATTGATTAAATTGCTTGTTATTTGATTAAAAATCGATGTTTTTTTTATCTTTCTATATTTCTATTATCAATTTATCTATTAATTTTTTTAATGAGGAATCAAAAGTTTATACAGCAACTTTAAAATTTTAATGTCATACCGAAGTTTCATTCTGTTAGACGTATTTTTTCTTTGATCAAAGAAAAACTGAAAATTTTTTTATTCTATTCTTAAAAATTAAAAGGTGAGCAGTATAGGTAATTAAAAAAATTATCAAGTAATTAATAATTACATTAATAATTCATTTTTCATTCATTTTAATTAACTATATACTTAAAAATGTTTATAAAAATTCTAGGCTAAATATGAGGAACAATTTTTGCTTTTTGCTCCTACAATTTCTAATAAATAAATTGTCGTCAAATTTATTTTTTACTAAATCAACAAAAAATTTATTCTCATCCTAAAAACGAAATTTCTCAATATTATGCAATGATGAAAAATTATTTTTAAATTTTTCCAATTCTATTTTAACGCATATTGGAGAAAATTTTATTTCCACTTCCCTAATTTCATGTTTAGTTTATGAATAACAATAATATTCGTGAAATATCATTTTCTGCTTTCGATAAACTTCAAAATTTAATCTATCTAAATCTTGCAAATATAATTCAATTCAACATGAACAACTTTTATATAAAGGAAATTATAAAAATTTGAAAATTATTATTTTAGACAATGCTTTAAAAAAATTGATACAATAATATTTTTGATTCAACAATTTTAGAAATATGCAAATCTTTAGATTATTTAAATTTAGATGAAAATTTATTAATAGAAATGCCAAAAATTAGAAAAATTTCTAATTTAACAATTTTATCATTAAAATCCAATAGAATTTTTATTTTAAATACAACAAGTTTATCACTAATGACAAATTTAATTCAACTTCATCTTGATGGAAATAATATCTCTAGTCTAAATAATAAAATTTCATCTAATTTACAAATTCTCACATTGTCCAATAATAATTTAAAAAATATATCCAAAAATTTGTGGAAAAATTTTAAAAATCTTCAAAAACTTAATTTAAATGGAAATCAATTTAAAATGTTGGAATATTTAAATAAATCAACACTTATTGAACTAAATCTTTACAATAATCCATTGGAAAAACTAACGTCAAATTCATTTGATAATTTACCAAAAAATTTGACAATTCATTTAAATTCACAATAAAAATAATAGTTGAAAAAAAATAAAAATTTTTACTTACCTTACAGATGAAATTAATATTTCTTCTTCTAACCATTGCATCATATTGGATAAAATCTGAAACAAAACAAATAATTTCCATTAATCAAAATGAACCAGACGATATTGTCAAAATATTACCGGATGATGAAAAAATAAATGAAATTTGTGAGGAAAATTATTATTGGACACTCGATATGTCTAAAATGGGAATAAAAAATTTAGCAGCAAATAATTTTAATAATCCACAAAATATACGTTGTCTCAATCTTGAGGGTAATGAAATTCGTAATTTACCCAGTGATTTATTTGATGTACAACATTTGTCAAATTTATCATATTTAAATTTAACAAATAATAATCTTGATATTAATAATTTGAAATTTCTAAATGGTCATAAAAATTTAAAAACATTAATATTAGATGGAAATAGTAAAAGAATATTAAGATTTATACCATCGATTTTATTGCCAAATTTAGAAAATCTTTATCTTAGAAATAATCATTTGTGTAACAAAATTTCTTATAATGATCTTTTAAAAAATTTTCCACGTCTTAAAAAATTATTTCTCACCAACAATAATGATGTTTATATTGATGATTATAATCGAAATATTAATTCTAATTTAACACATATTTTTATTGAAAAAAATCGTGTTTCTAATTTTCAATATTTATTAAATATTCCATCACTTACGCATTTATATTTTGATGACAATACGAGAAATTCATTTTGTCTCCCTTCTAGTAATATTAAAGTATTGTCATTGAAAAATTGTAAATTAACAAAATTAAATTTATGCTACACTGTTTCGTCGTTGAATAATAATAATTTAACAACACTTGATTTATCACAAAATCAAATGACAACATTGTCTGTGGAACAAAGTAATATTTTTTCTTTTTTACAAAATTTATCACTTAGTTATAATTTCATTACTGAAATACCGAGAAATATTCATAATTTACAATTGAAAATTTTATCACTAAGTTACAATAATATAACAGAAATTAAGGAACGTGCTTTTGAGAATAGTACAAATTTACAAATTTTGTCACTAAGGGGCAATAAAATATCACATCTCGATGTAAATTCTCTAGCAGGATTGGGGAATTTAGAAATATTAGATTTAGCAAAAAATCATTTTACCAATCTACCATTTAATTGGGCGGATAAATTTTTTAATCTCCACTATTTGAATGTTAATTTTAATAATTTTTCATCATTCACTCAACTTTCGTTGCAAAATAATATTGGATTAAAAAATTTACATTTGAGAAATAATAATATCAGTGAAATAATAATGGAGTCATTGATTAATTTACCATCGCATTTGATAATTCATGTTTCACCGATTTGTTTGAAAAAATTTTAAAGGAAATTTAATTTAATTTTAATGTAAATAAATGTAATCTGAAGAATGGAAGCTTAGAAGCAAAAAAATTATAGGTTATGTTTTGAAATTTTAAAGTGAAAATACACAGAGAGATTTAACTCGTAGTAAAAAATAATTATATTTATAAGTCTTTATTATTTCTAAAATATTCAATAAAAACTGATTACAGTTTTACGGAAACAAACAATAATCTTTTGGTTTAGGTAAAACTTTCGTTAACATGACATAGAATTTATTTGCTTCTAATGTCTCTTTCTTTGGATCAAGTCACAAATATTCTCTCTGTGTCGATTAATAATAAGATTATGTTTCTGTGTCTAAGAAGTGGTATCAATAAAATTAAAATTTTCAAAAAATATTGTGTTAAAATTAAGTATTAACAGTAATAAAGTAATAAAGTAACAGTATTAAATTTTTATTTATAAAATGTATATTTATTATTGTTGTAACAATTTTTTGTCTATTTTTTTTGGTTTTCTTTTTGCTATTACCATTCTTTTTGCGAATTACTCCAATCAAAAGGATGAATTGCTTTCGTAACATGTTTTTTACAAAATTTCACCACACTCTCACCATTCACATCAATAGTCATATTTACTGGTAATTTTTCCCTAAAATTAATCATTCTCTCTTGAAATTTTCCATCAAGATGTAATTTCAATCCAATTCTCGAATCAGATAATCCCATTGATTTTAAATTAGCAAAAAAATTACCCTTTAAATTCAATTCGACTAGTTTCAAATTCATCATCCAACCAAAATTAATATGCGTCAATTTATTTTGTTCTAAATTAATAATTTTTAAATTTAACAAATTTTCAAATACATCCTCGCCAATAAATTTAATTCTATTATTATCCAAATTTAATTCCTCTAACGTTAACATTGTTTGAAAATCAAATTTTGACAATAATCTTATTTCATTACATTTTAATGAGAGCAATTTTATATTTGGAATATATTCAATTTTTGGTATTGAATGAAGTAAATTATTATCTAAATTCAATTCACGTAACGATGGCATTTTATGAATATGATTCAATGAACGAATTCTATTGTGTGATAAATTTAAAATCATCAACAATGGTGATTTACTAAAATCACTTATCCAACTTATTTCATTTTTTGATGCTGTAAAATATTTTAATTTTCCCATTTCCCATAGTGTAATATCGGTTATTCGATTATTGTCAATTGAAATAAATTCAAGATAAGGATAATTACCCAAACCAAAATAATCTAAATCATTATTTTCAAGATGTAATTCTTTCAATGATTTTGGTAACCAATGAAAATTACGATCATAATGCGGTGATTCATTTGTTATTTCATTATTATTTAAATATAAATGTGTTAAATTGGGAAAAATTGAATTTGCCCCACGTATTGAAATTATTGCAATACTATTGTTTCTTAAATATAATTTTTCCAATTTTGGAAAATAACCTTTAAGTTGTAAAATTTTTAAATAATTTTTAAATCCAGTTTGATTTTGATAACCACCGCGTATTGATTTATCGAGTACGAGCATTTTTAAATTTTTATGTCGTCCCAATGAGAGAAATTGTTCTTTTTTCAAACGATTATTGGCAAGATTTAAATATTCAAGATTTGGAATATCATTGAATGCATCTGATGATATAAAAACAATTCCACGATTTTCAAGATTGAGACATGTCATTTTTGAATCTTGAAGAAATTTTTCATTAATTGTTGGATTAGAATTTTCAAAAATCATATTTGTTCCATCGCAATCGGAAAATTGTTTATTTAATTTTTCATTTAATTTTTGTGCTCCTTGAAAAGGTAGTCCAATGATTATGGTGAAAATTGTGATTATTAATACTGATAGCTGCATTTTTGTTCTGTAATTAAAAAAAAATTTTATATTTTTTAAAATAATTTTTAAATAATTCTAATATTATTATAATTAAAACAAAATTAAAATTTTATAATTAATTAAATATTAAATTAGTTATTTAATATTAATTAATATTCAAAATTTTCTTTTTTAAATTTTATTTTATGTTATAAAATTAAATTAATGTAGGCAATAAGGAAATTTTTAAGGCCTTCGAAAAAGGCTTACAATGAAATAAATAATTATTATTATTATTGTTATTATTATTATTATATTTTTTTTATTAAAAATTAATGATTAGTATATAAAAATTATTATTTTTAATTCAATTTACAAAAACAAATTCTACTCTATAGTTAAAAATTTTGAAATTGAATTAAAAAAAAAATAGTTTTTATAATATTTTTTTGCTATTATTTCGTTTATTATAAAAATTTTTCGACTTACGTTATTATTCTTCTCCTAAAATTATTTTTTTTATTTCAAAATTTTATTTGTAATATATATGAAAAGTAACGAATTGAATTTTTCTAAATTCCACAATTTTTGTTTTGTGAAACTAATAATTAATTAATTTATTTATTATTATTATTTTTTTACTATTATTTATTATTGTCAAATAAACACTTGATTTGTCATTTTTTTTTTAATTAACAATTTTTGAAATTCAAGACAAAAAATTTTTAATTAATATTTTAAAAAATTTTTTTTGGAAAAATGAACTTAATTTATTTAATGGAAAATGAAGACTGAAAAGAAATTTTCTGAGATTATAATTTTATAGTATTTGACACAAGATAACCTTAATATATGTATTATTATTCGTAACAAAGACTTTCTTGCTTTTGATATATTTTTTTTTTTTTTTTTGATAAAGAAAGTTCATTAAACGAATTAAAAAAACATTAACGTAGGATATTGAAATTTTTTCTAATATTTTATATATTTATTAAATTTTGATAAACAAAATAAATTTTCAAATTAATAAATTTTTTTTTTTAATAAAAAAAAAATTACAAACGCCCCTGACTTTATACTAATTAGAAGCTCACATGTAAGGCGGGTTGCTGTCTGCAGGGGAATCGTATTATTCTAACGATAAAGTAGTTTTTTTTTTATTAATTATTATAAATAATTTATTATTTTTTGAAGATAAAAAATTAATATTAATTATTATAATAACAATAATAATAGGAATATTAAAAATAAAAAAAAATTAATAATAAAATAAAAATAATGACAATAATAATAATAATAATAGTCAAAATTGTAATTGTAATAGTAATAATAAAAAAATAAAATAATAGTAGTAAATTAATTGAAATTAAGTAATTTTTAAATTATTAAATTAATTTCAAAAATATTATCTTAATTCAAATAAACAAAGGATGAAGATATTAAAAACAAAACAAAAAAAATAAAAAACATTCAAAACTGGAATTCTGAAATATGAAAAAAGTTCTTCTTCGACTTTCCTCCTTTTCAATAAAAAAAATTTACAATTTTTCTCAGGATAATCTCGTTTTGAAACACGTCGTTGACCTTGAAAACCTTGCAAATTTTTCTTTCAAGAAGAATCTTTCCTCATACGATCTTCAGGAGTCGAAGAGAAATCATAATATCTTTGTACTTGTAAAAGATCTATTTCAAATTTTATTAGTCTCTTTAAAGAATAATTGTTTTCAAAAAAAAAATTTTTTAATTTTAATAAATTAATTAATTTTAGTAAAAAAAGAAATTTTTTTTTTTGCAAAAAATATATAAATAATAAAATTTTTTATTTAGAAAAATTATTTAATTAAATAAATAACCGAAGATTAAAAGTGATTTTTTTTTTTGAAAAAAATCTTCAACGAGAAAAAAAAATTTCTGCTTCCACGTAAGTAGTACTTATTTATTGTTAATTTATAATTTTATATTTTATAATCAATTTATTTATTAATAATAATAACACTAATAAAAATAGTATTAAGAACGTCTATTTTTATTTTATTATAATTTAGTTCTTTAAATATTTAAGTATTTTTGTTATTTTTATTATTATTTGTAAATTTAAATAATACTATCTGATTATGAAGTGAAAAAAATATAATTTATTTAAAATTCAAATTAATTAATTACATTAATTTAATTTATCTATCTTAGTGTTGTTAAATATCGTTTACTATACCACTGTTCGTGCTAGCGTTTTTTTAGTGGACGCTTGAGCCGAAAAATCTGCGCGCGCAGCACTTTAGGAGTGGGGGTAGCGCCTACGATTGGTTTCCACTCCTCCTCACTACTCCTAAGTGTTGCACGCGCAACACCGGAGAAGTGGAGGGAGAGCGAAGAGTGGGGATAGCGTCTATTATTGCCTTTTACGCCTCCCTACCACTTTCCAAGTGCTGCGCGCGCAGATTTCCTAACTTCAGCGTCTGCCACAATAAACCTTAACAGTTTTTTTTTATTTATTACCAGTTTTTTTTATCCTATTTATTAAATTTTAATTTCATATTCTAGTAAATAATAATTTATTATATTTAATTAAAATTTTAATAAATTAATTATTTATTAATGATAATAATTAGTTATTTTTTAATAATTAATTACATTTTCAATTAATTATCATTAAATAATTAATTACATTTGTAATTAAATATCAGTAAATAATTAATTTACTAAAACAGTAATTCCAAAAAAAATTCCAAATAATTATTAATTAAATTATAAATTAATTTTGAATAGGTATAGAAAAAAAGTAATTTTTTTTTCCAGAATGTTTGTGACGATATTTTTTACAATTTTTCTCGTCACTGGCGTCACTGTGGGTTGTGAAAAACAGGCAATATCATTTGACATCACTGAAGAGGACATTTTTCTGGAAAAATCAACAATTAACATTAAACTACCAGATTGTCCAAAATCATCAATAAAATTAAATCTCTCACACATGGGTATCAATAATATCACCGATAATCTAACAGACAGTCCATTCTTTACATGTCTCAATCTCGAAAACAATGATATTGTTTCACTACAACAAAATATTTTCCAAGAAATGACAAATCTTACATATCTCAATTTAGCCAATAATCAAATACCAGATCATGATCTTCTATCATTTGGTGGTCATGAAAAATTACAAACCCTCATTCTCGATGGTAATGTACCATCATATTCACATACATTACATGTTCGTGGTGAATTTCCCAAATTAGAAAAATTATTTCTTAGGGAAATGCTCATTGAATTTCTTCCCAATGATTTTGGTTCACATTTTCCCAGTTTAACACATTTTTATCTATCAAATAATATTGTTAATGTATCGAATCTCTATAATTTTGTTAATACTCTACCAACATCGGTGACACATCTTTATTTGGAACAAAATGGAATTAGCGTATTTCGAAGTTCGGTACTAAATAATATCACTGAATTACTATTAGACGGTAATGAATTTAAAGTACTCGATAGATCATTTGATATGACATTGGATCCAAGTAATACACCAACACTTGAACATTTATCGGCGCGTTCATGTAAAATTAGTAAAATTGGCACAACTGCATTTTATGGTACCTATAATTTAACAACACTCGATTTATCCAATAATTACATTGAACAAATACCCGATGGTTTATTTAATGGTGTATCAAATTTAAAAAATTTATCACTTAGTTCAAATTTTCTCAATGAAATACCACGTGCAATTTCCCTATCGTGCTTGAGAATAATGCATTTAAATTACAATCGTATACAAAATACAAGTCAATTAAGTAATCTTACGGGATTGGAAATTTTATCATTACGCGGTAATAATATTACACATCTTGGTGAATGTGTTTTTGGTAATATGACAAATTTACGTGAATTAGATTTAGCTGAAAATAATATTAAATATTTTATGCCAAATGCAATGGTGAATTTAAAATTTTTTAATCTTAATTTTAATTATATTGATAATATTGAGGCATTATTTTTACGTAGTGATTTTTCATTGGAACATTTGTATTTAAAGGGTAATCCATTGTCGCGAATTACTGTTAATTCATTAATGAATATGCCGGAGAATTTGACACTTTACATTGGACCAATGAGACATCCGGGAATTCATTCTAGAATTTTGAAATTGGAAAAATTTGATAAGAGAAATAATAAAATGATTCTTTTGGAAAAGGAATAATTTAAAAAAAAAAATATTAAAAATAAAAGTAAGAATTATTAATTGTAATATGTTTAAAAAAAAAAAGTAGAATTTGAAATAGCGTTTTTATTTTTTGAGAATATAATACGTGCGGGGAGAAAAAAGTGTAGAGAGAGCGCTGGGATTGGTGATTATATTAGGCGGCGCGTACATTTTTCAAGGTCATAGCGCTATCCCCACTCTGCGCAGGCGGCGCGCGCAAGTTTCAAGGTCATCGCGCTATCCCCACTCCTCGCTGACGGAGCGCGCAACTCTCAAGGTCGTCACACTATCCCCACTATTCGCGTTCACTATTCTTAATTACAAAATCAAAATATTAACATCCAAAAACAAAACTACTTTAAATTCTTAATAATTTACAAATAGAAAAATGTATCAGCGAAATATAAAATGCTTTTTTTTAACAAATAAAGAATTCACAAAAAAATATTTGTCAATTTTTTCTACCTCCGATTTTTATCCTTTAAAAACATTTTAGTAACTTTGTTTATTGTATTAAATTATTAATTTTATTTAGTTATTTATAATAATTATTATTAATTAATAATTATTAGTATTAGTGAAAAAAATTTGAGAATAAAAATAATCTTTCTTTGTTGCAAAAAAAAATTTATGTTTACAATTGACAAACTGTGATAGCAATTAAAAATGTTATTACATAATTTATTTTATTAATAACGACAAAGAAGCATATTGAATTGATTTCTCTTTGTAATTTTATCATCAGTGATTAATAAAGTCTCTGCTGATAAAGTTCAATTATTATTTAACAGTAAGTATTTATTTATCTCACCAAAACGTTAAATAGTTTATCTAATAGCAATAAACAACAAATAAACAAATATTACACAAAAATATATTTAAATAATTTTGGCATAATAAATTTATATTACATAATAATTCATTAATTACTTATTAATATTTGTCATATTCTTACCTTACCGACTGTAAGCAAAGTATAAAATTACATTACACACAGTCGGTAACGTAGAGATCTACTTTATCGACCTAGTAGTTACCGGCTGTGAGCAGTGTAGGGAATTACATACAGTCGGTAAGGTAGGGATCTACTTTGGTCGACATTATAGTTATACAGTCGGTAAGGTAGGGATCTACTTTGATCGACATTGTGATAACCGACTGTGGGTAGTGTAGAATACTATATTACCCACAGTCGGTAAGATGGGGATCTACTTTATCTATCTAGTCATTACCGACTGTATGTTACATAACCAAAATTAGAACCAAGTTTTTAATAATTTAAAAAAATGTCACTAAATATCTAAAAAATTTCTTTTTCAGATGAATTGTAAAATAATAAATTTAGTCATTTGTATTGTGACAATTCCACTTTTTTGTCACAGTCAAACAATATTATTTTACAATGAAATTGACTCAGAAGCAAATGAAACAATTATTGAACCTGATCAAATTGATTTTCATTGTAAAATTTCCAATACAACAAAATCACTTCATCTCAATTACACGGAACTTAAATATCTACCAAGCAACTTTATTGATTATCAAGTACCAATAAATTGTATAAATCTTGAAGGAAATCAATTAACCTATATTCCTAAATTATTTTTTGAAAAATTTCCAAATCTCACATTTTTAAATATTGCAAATAATTACATATCGACTTATGATTTATTTAGAATTGAACCATGTGAAAAATTAGAAACCCTTATAATGGATGATAATTCTAAAAATGAATATCAATATAAATCAAATCTAGAAAATTATAATCGTTTTCCAAATTTAAAACAACTTTATCTTCGATCAAATCAAATAAAATCATTGGGACAGGCACTTCGATTTTATAATTTTCCAAAATTGACACACTTATATTTATCGAGAAATACAGAAAAAACGGGATCACTACAGGATAGTGTGGTGAATATTCCAAAATTTTTGCTATATTTAGAAATTGAGGACAATGGTATTTGTCGTTTTAATGGGACAATTTTTAAAAATATCACCCAACTTCACATTGGTGGGAATCAATTTTTTTCCCTTGGATCATCATTGCAATATAATTCTTATCTTAATATTAAAAATATGACAAATTTAAAAATATTAACAGCTACACGTTGTGATATGAGAAAAATAAATAACGACGCATTTGATGGTGTAAAAAATTTAGAAAAATTAAATCTCTCCATTAATTTTATTGATGAAATTATTGATAATACTTTCAAAAAATTGACAACATTAAAAATTATTTCAATGAGTTACAATAGATTGAAAAAAATTCCCAAAGAAATGTCACTTAAAAATTTAAAACAACTTTTTTTAAATTACAATTTTATCGATACAATTGAAAAGAATTCATTGGATAATTCTCATAATTTGGAAAAATTATATCTAAGGGGAAATAGAATAAAAACAATTGAAATAAATTCATTTCAAAATTTGGTAAAATTGACAAATTTAGATTTACGAGAAAATGAAATACACACATTTTATATAAATTGGGCTAGTAATTTGAAAAATTTACATAATTTAAATTTAATTAATAATAATATTTCATCGATAGAATTTTTATATTTGGAAAATTCTTTTTTGAAAAATGTCTTTTTCAATAGTGGACAATTGAAAAATATTACATTTACGAAAAATCAAAAAAATTTAATTTTACATATAAATTTAAATTTGAGTTTAGAAATGAATACAAATTCACGTTATCGATATGGAAAAAATTATCAAATTCAGTGTAAAAAGTAGTTTAGAAAAAAATTTTTTTAAACAAAGTCCGATTTACAAAAAAATGATTCAAGTCAATAATTAATTAAACAATGAAATAATTATTTTAATTAATTAATAAATAAGTAAAAAAATAAATAAAATAGGTAATTTATTAAATTTATTTTTAATTATTAAATTGTTTATTTTTTAAAAATGTACAATAAAAAATTTGTTTACTTTAATAAAATGCTAATTATCTAATAAGAAGATTATTTAGCGACTGTATTTTGTTTCTTTTAATTATCACAAATTCCCACTTTTACTTTTTCCGTCACACTCCCAATCAATTTCTTGTGAAATAAATGATAATAATTCAAAATATACACGCTCAACAGTATTACTGATCATTATTTGCAAGTAAGTACCCAAAATTTTATTTTTTTCATAAAATGTAAATTTGCTTTAAGAAAAATAATTATTTTTTCAACTAATTAATTATTAATTGCAAAAAAATACATTTTTTCCTCTCCCGAAACAAAAAGAAAAAATAATTTTACTGTTTTTATTGAAAAAAAAAATTTTATTAATTATTTATAATATTTTTTTTAATATTTACAGATAATAAAAAAAAATGTTGGATATTTTTACCAAACTTGTGATTCTCAGTTTTTTCGTTATATTTTCTGAATGTAACAATGTGGCGAATGTGGTAATGATTTTTTATTATATAATATTTTCAATTTTAATTAATTTTTGTATTTTATATTATGTTAAATTCATGCTTGTCCGATATCTACTTTACCGACTGATAGTGAATCAAGTTTAAAAAAAATACAAAAATTACCAACACAAAAGTCTACTATACCGACTGATGATAAAACAGTATTTTGAAAATGAAAATATAAAAAATTACCGACATAGAAATCAACCTTACCGACTGATGGTACAACTGCTTTAAAAAATGAAAATATAAAAATTACCAGCACAGAAATCTACCTTACCGACTGATTGTAAATTTTTATTTGAAATTTTACCAACTATTTCAAAACTGTCTTACTATCAGTCGGTAAATTAAATTTCTTTGTCGGTAATTTTTTATAATTTCATTTTTAAAACTGTTTTACCATCAATCGGCAAGGTAGATTTCTGCGTCGGTAATTTTTTATAATTTCATTTTTAAAACTGTTTTACCATCAATCGGCAAGGTAGATTTCTATGTCGGTAATTTTTTATATGTTCATTTTTCAAAAAACTTTATATTCACTCGGTAATGTAGATTCCTATGTTGGTAATTGTTTTGTCGTGCGCACAGTATTTTTAATACTTCTCAAAAAAAATCAAGATTTTCTAATAAAAATTTTTTTTTTCAGATAAAGAAAAATTCTCTTCAAATTCCAACTGGACAATGTGATAAAATGGAAAAAAATGTCACACTAAAATTATCAAATACAAATTCAAAAAAACTCATCGACTCCTTTATGGACAGTTTATTTATCAATTGTCTTAATCTCGAATCAAATGAAATAACAGAAATTTCACCGGGTGCTTTTAAAAAATTACCAAATCTTTTTTTATTAAATTTAGCCAATAATTCCCTACCGACGACAAATTTAATTTCATTTGACTCTCATCCAAAACTAAGAACACTAATTGGTGATCAAAATTTAATTGATAAAAAAAATTCCACCTTAAGAATAAAATCAAAATTTTCCAATTTACAACATTTTTATTCACGACAAAATGGAATTGCCACATTATCCCTAGATATTGGGGAAAAATTACCAAATTTAACACACCTCTATCTCAATGATAATTTAATTAAGGAAATTAATATTTTCCCACCAAAATTAACGCATCTTTGGTTATCAAATAATTATTTTAAAAAGTTTAATGTAACGCAATTAAAAATAATTGAATTTCTTCAATTAGAGGGAAATCAAATAAAAATAATTTGTAATTCATATTGTCATGAATTTTCACTTTCACTTGCAATGGTAAAAAATTTACAAACTTTAATATTATCTCACAATGAAATAAATGACATCGAACCAGATTCATTTGATGATACAATAAATCTTTTAAATTTAGATCTTTCACACAATAAATTACAAATAATACGTAAAGGATGTTTTAATTTTCTCAAAAATTTACAAAATTTATCATTAAATAATAATTTTTTACAAAAATTACCCAATTTTTCAACGCTACAAAATTTAAGACAATTAAATATTAGTGATAATAAAATTGAAAAAATTGAAATGAATGAATTTAAAAATTTCCCCTATCTCAAACAATTGTCATTAAGTGGAAATTTATTGAAAACAATTGAAATGAATTCCTTTGAAAATTTAATGGCTCTTGAAAATTTAGATTTATCAATGAACAAACTTCAACATTTGCCAATAAATTGGTTGACGGGAGTTGAAAATCTTGAAACTTTAGATTTAAGGGGAAATTGTTTTCAAAACTTTGCAAGTTTATCACTTGACTATATGGAATCATTGAAATTGATTTTTCTTCAAAATAATCCTCTATTATTTATGAATACAAAAATAATGGCTAATTTTCCAAAAAGTGTAACTATATATCTTAAAAATGATAATAATATCAATTGTTTTTTTAATAATACAAAAAGTCATCAATTGAGTGGAAAAATTCCTTCTGTGCTAAAAATTTGATTAAATTAGAATTTAAATTTTTTCTACACTCTCTTTCTTTCAAAAAAAGAGGGTAAAAAAAATAAAATCGAAGGGAAAAGTGAAAATTAATTTTGTTATTTTTAATTATGAAAATAAATGATAATTAAAATAATGCGTTTTTAAGATAGGAAGCTAAGAAAAAATTTATAGGTTATGTTTATGATTGTTTTGAAATTTTTACTAAAAGTTCCATTTTTATTTTTAGTTCCATTTTTTCCATATATGTGAAATCAGAATCAATTTTTATTTTTAATTTAATGATAAATAAAGTAGCAATTTATTCTTTTTGTGTATTTTTACTCCAAAACTATCATGAACATAGCCTATAATTTTTCTGCTTCTTAGGTCCATTTCCCTCTAAATTATAATAAACATAACCTATCCATTTTTGTTTCTTAGATAAAATTTTTTCGAAATTATAAACATAACCTATTTTCACTCCAAACTATCATAAACCTAACCTATAATTTTTTGCTTTTTAGGTCCCTTCCTCTAAACTACCATAAACCTAACCTAACCTAACCTAACCTAACCTAACCTAACCTAACCTAACCTAACCTAACCTAACCTAACCTAACCTAACCTAACCTAACCTAACCTAACCTAACCTAACCTAACCTAACCTAACCTAACCTAAAATAACCTAACCTAAAATAAATAAATAAATAATCAACAATTAAATTAATATTTATATTTTCAAAAATAGTAATTTTTATCATTTTTTTCGATATTTTTTAATTTTAAACAAAATTTTTATACAATAGCAGAAAAATAATAATAAATTTATGAATAACTGGAGTAAATGTTATTTATCTCTCTCTCTCTCTGTGTTTTTTTAGTTCATTATTTGCAACAAAATTACACAACGAACATTGAATGCTGAGACCTTGGTAAAGACTTTGTAGGGCACGAGAATCTCATACACAAGTCCATGACATTACCAAATGTAAAATACACTATTAACTGATTCATTCAGTTGATTATTTCAAAGAATCTTTTTTACTATATAACAAAATTAATTTTCTTTAATTTAAATTTATTTTCCTTCTGCATTTTTGTTTCTTGGGTACTTTTCTTTTTTTATTATTTTCTATATTTTATATACAAATAAAAATACAAAATTTAAAAAAATATATAAATAAAAAAATGTATTTTATTTTTATACTTTTTAGGTTTATTTATTGAACAAAAAAATTTTATCAGATTAAAATTATTATTTTCTTGTACAATGAAAAAAAAAAAAATTCTTTTTGATAGGCTTTGCAATTGCAAAAAAAAAATTATCTAATCAATACAACATCAGAAGTGCATACTGCTAAAGAGCAAATCCTAATGAGTTTCGAAACTAGAGAGATAATAATTCACGAGTACAACGTCAATTGCTTAGACGACATTGGGAGTTTCAAATGATTTAAGAAAAAAAAAAAAAAACCCAGTCTATTGATCACACTATAAAAGCAAAGTGGGAATTAGATTTGTCACACAACTCGCTAAAGTTTCATGTGAAAATTACTTCTAAAATTTAAGTAAGTTGTTTTTTTTTAAATTACAACTTTTCAAATCATCGATTTTCATGTTATATAAATTAATAAAAATAAAAAAAAGTTTTGCTTTTTTTTACATTCACATTATTTTTGGAGGTTTCAAAAATTTTGTTGATTTTTATATTTAATTGTTTTTCAAAATTTTTTAACTATTTTTGACATTTCACATTTTTTAGCAAAATTTTATTTTAATTTCATGAAAAAATTCATTTAAATTAAAAATTGATAGTAAGAAAAAATTTTATTTTAATTTAAAGTGGAAACATTGAATTAGAAAATTTCAAATATTCATAAATAATAATTTATTATCTTCACTATTTTGTTTTTTTTTCTTAATTTTCGTTTTTTATTTTTTAAATTTCTTTTAAAACACTTTAAAAATGTTTCCCTCTATTTTTGAAAGTTAAAACCTTTTTTTTAAATTTCAATTGATAAACAAACTTTATCGATAATTATTTGCAGCAAAAAAAAAAAAATTTACCAACCAAGGATAATGTGAAAACTTTTTTTAAAAAAAAATTAAATTCTAAAAATTTAACATAAAATTTTTCTACTCAATTTCAAAAACCAAATGTAAATTTAATTTATTTAATGTTAATTTTAATGTTGGGCTTTTTATATTATTATTATTATTATTATAAATAATTATTATTGTTAAATTTTTTCGAAATAACATTTCGACAAATGATAAGAAAAATTATTTTAGTAAAAACATTTACCATGAAATGATTCTTTAAATCCATATCGAATAATGTAGAAATCTGCTTGGAATTTGTTACCTGGAAATTAAAAAAAAAAAAATTTGGTACTAGATTTAAATTAAATAATAAGATTTTGAAAATTTAATATTAGGAAATTTTTTTTCAAATTCAAAAATTAACCAACGATCAAAATACAAAAAAATTGTATAATTTTTGAAAAATAATAACTTAATTTTTATAAAGAAAATTATTTTTATTTATAATATATATTACAAGAACTATTAAAAATAAAAAAATAACAATAGACCAAAATAATGTTAATTTAAAAAAGAATAACTAAATTTTGTTTATTATTACTTTTATTTTATTTTAAAATTCTCATTTTTTAAACTACTTAATTGCAAATAATAGATATTCTTTTAATAATTAATAATTATAATAATAACAATAACAATAATAATTGGTAAGTAATAATAATTATTTATTTAATAATTATAATAATTATAATTATAATAATTATAATTATTAGGTAATGATAATTATTTATTCAATAATTATGATTAGTAATTATTCATTGAATTATTTTAAAAATAATTATTAAAAAATTTGACTTTATTTTGTGATCTAATTTTGAATTTACAATAATTATGAAATTTATGAAAATAGAAAATTAGAAACATTCAAAATAATTATTAAATAAATTAAAAATTACCTGTTAATTTAATTCGAAATTATCAGTTAAATAAATTAAAAATTATTTGCGAAATTAATTATTTTTTAATTGCACCGTAATTGAATAAAAAATTTTTATATAGAATCAGACTAAACTTATGCCTACCAACGCCCAAGTTGAGAACAGTGCGCGCGCAGTGCGTAAAGAGTGGGGAGAGGCGTGCGAATGCCAATCACAATCGTTACCCCCACTCTGCACGTGCTGCGCGCGCACTGTTCTCAACTACCTGTCTCACTCTCTCTCCGAAAGAACTCCACGAGTCAAAATAACTTCTCTATTCCCTTATTTCTCAATTAAATTCGCAATTAAATTCTCAATTAATTTTTTAATTAAATTCTCAATTAATTTCTCAATTAATTTATCAATTATTTAAATTAAATAAATAAAAAAAAAATTAATTTTCTTCCCCTTTTTTCACCTACAGGAATGGTACAAATTACCCAACTTCTAATCATCGTTATATTACAACTATTTCTCATCAATGGACATCATATTTCACAAGTTTCCTTTCCATTGGTGGGACTCTATCATTCAATTGACTTAAGATCACGATCCGATGACAATCCTATTCTACCAACCGGAAGTTGTCAAGATTTCAAGAAAAAAGATCTCACACTCTTTCTACCACGTGTAAATATTCACACACTCTATCGAGGTATCGTCAGCAGTTATGATGTCTCCTGTCTAAGTTTCCGTGACAATCACATTGATCGCATTGAATCCGGAACATTTAACACAATTTCAAATCTCATCTATTTGGATTTATCCAAAAATCGTATACCAATTTGTGATCTTCTCACATTTAACAGTGACAATTATAAATTACGAACATTAATTCTTGACGAGAATCAAGTACCAATTGATGACTATGGTCGTGATATTATTCATAGTGATTGTTTTCCAAATGTTGATAGTTTATATTTAAGAAAAAATTGGCTAAGAAGTTTACAATTTTCCCTACGTCATGCATTTCCAACACTTCGTCATTTATATCTATCGGATAATTATATTGAAAATGAAAATTTTGTACGAAATGTTCCAAATTGTTTGACCTATGTTTATTTGGAGAGAAATCGTATTAAAAGTTTTGGTGGTGAAATTATGGATAATGTGGAATTTCTCTTCTTGGATGATAATAAATTAAGATCAATTTGTCGTGGACATTGTTTGGCAGACAGAGCACTTCGTCTTAATAATGCAAGACGATTGAAATTCCTCTCATTGACACACAATGAAATTGTACGAATTGATTCAGATGCATTTGATGATGCCTGTGATTTAATGACATTAAATTTAGCAAACAATCACATTGATATAATTAAAGCGGAAACATTTTTAAATCTTCGTAATCTAAAGGAATTGGATTTAACTGGTAATCGTTTGACAAAAGTGCCAAATTTAAGTAGAAATACACAATTATTAACCATTTCATTGGGATACAATCAAATTGAATTCATTCAAACTGGAACATTTAGAGATTTAAGATTATTGAAGAAAATTATTTTATCTAACAATCGAATATGTCGAATTGAAACCGATTCGTTTATTGAATTACCACGTCTTGAGGAATTGGATCTTTCTTATAATAATTTGGAACGTTTAAATAGATTTTGGTGGAGGCAGCAGGATAGTTTGAAAAATCTCGACGTTCGTGGAAATCATTTTACAAGTTTTGCTGATTTATGTCTCGATAGTGCCTATCATTTATCGGTTGTTTATTTGCAAAAAAATCCAATGATCAGCGTTAGTTGTATGCAAAATCTTTCACCTGATATTGTGATACATGTGATTAGTGAATGTAGGGCAATGAAAGGAAGATGCTATGAACAATGCATAGCTGGGGAAAATTTGATATGGTAGAATATTTTCTAAATATTTATTGTACATTGAAGAAAATTTTTAATTCTTATCTGTAATTCTTAATTTTTTTGATTAATTTTTAGTTTAGAATTTTAGGTCAAAAATTAATTATACAGAATTAAGTGAAAGTATTTAATATACAGAATAAATAATTACCAAAATGTTAGAATGAAATTTTTGATATTTAGAATTTGGTTTGTTGGTAAAATCTGTAATCTGTATTGTTATGAAAAAAATTATTGTATTTACGAATGTAATTCATCCGGCATAATTAATTTTAGATGTAAATAGTATTAATTAAAAGATTTGAGAAATATTTATACCATTTTTTTTAGTGCAACAGATTCCGTAACTTCGAAATTCTAAAACATTTTCTTTATCCGTTTCTTAATTAGATGTGATTTTTTACTTCCTCTGCTATTTTTTTATTTGAACTAACAAAAGTATCTTAAATTTAATTTGTGTAAACCAGATCTAAATTAATTAATTCAAATCGAAAATTAAGCAATTTAACATCCAAAATCAGAATCTGACCTGGCCTTACGTTTTTTTTTATCTAAAAAACAAATTCCAATTATGAAAACAAAAATTTTGACCTATTTCCAAACAATAGTAAACTAAAATCAAAATTTCCGGCATACGCAATTTGCCTTGATAATAACCCTAAAGTCTTATCGAGGTCACAACGATAACAAAGTTCAAAGTGTATCGTCTTTTCAACTTCCCTCGTGTATCTTGGAACTTGAACCATTTCAACGCCAGTTCTATTTACATCTTCAAGTGTACAACATTTCTGTAAACAAATTTCCTTTTTTGTACTTAAAAAAGTAAAAAAAAAAAAAAAAAGTTTCTCATTACCCAGTACTTCCGCATTGTTATATAAATTAACAGTACTCGTCACTTTTTTTTTTTCATTACCATAATGAATTTTATTGATAAATTACTAAAAATTATCATCAGTTTCTGCATTTATGAAATTTGTTCTTCACAATTAGAAAAAGAAAAGGAACTTTTAAATCGTTTTAATCCATTCAAATTATGTAAAAACAATATTCAAGGACTAATACCATCAAATGTAACAATTGAAAAACTCAGTGAAAAATTATTCCACAATCTCAATATGGATTGTCTTGATCTTAAAGCACGTGGAATAAATGAAATTACATCAGGATTTTTTAATAAATTTCCCCATCTTCAAGTGGTGAATTTAGAAAATAATCAATTAAATGTTAATTCATTTTTTGATAATCAAGAATTATTGAATGTTAGAATTTTAAATTTAAACGATAACAAAAGAACTGATTCTCTAAAAATAATAAAGGGATATTATCCAAAATTAAATGATCTTCATTTACGAAATTTAAGTTTGAAAAATTTGGATTTATCCCTTATGACAAATTTAAATAATTTAATTCTCTCGGGAAATGATTTATCACAAGGTACATTAAAAATTTATAAAACAGTGAATAGCTTAATTCTCGATGATAATAAATTAAAGAAACTTGAACCAATTCGTCTTTATGATAACAATAATAATAATAATATAACAACACTTGAAATTGAACAAAAACTACGTATATTGAGTCTTAATAAAAATATTTTTGAAAAAATTGGTTGCAGTGAAAAATCACAATCATTATGTTTGGATAAATTAAAAAATTTAAATATATTATTTTTAAGTGATAATAATATTTTTGAAATTGAATCAAATGCATTTAATGATAATGGAAATCTAATATTATTGGATCTCTCTGAAAATTATTTGGAAAAATTAAATGAAAATTCATTGAGTACTAGTTTAGTGATTTTAAATTTGGGTAGTAATCCATTGACAAATGTACCAAAACTTTGTCGTTTAATAAATTTGGAAATATTGATACTTGATCATACGAGAATATTGAGAATTGTTGACAATGATTTTTGTGAATTGAAAAAATTGAAAAAATTATGGTTAAGAGATGTGGGAATTGAAAAATTATCAGAAAATTCTTTTGGTAATTTAATTGCATTAGAGGAATTACATCTTGATGATAATAAATTGAGTACACTTCAAGGATGGCAAATGCCATTTAGTTTACGTGCTCTTCATCTTGGGGGAAATTCATTTAAGATACTTGCCGATGCTACGAGAATTGGTACTGCTTTTCTTGAATATTTAGATCTCAGGAGAAATCAAATAAATGATTCTGATGTTCGTTCTTTTAACATTTCTAAATTGCACATTGATTTTTGATTGTATTTTTCAAACATTGTAACAATAATTTTATTACTTTTTTTTTTTAGCTTTTAAAGATAATTTTAAAATAATATTTTTGTTTATTTCAAATTCAGTATCTTAAATGAAATATAAGTTTTAGTCGTAGTTAAAAATTTGATAACAAAGTTCACATCAGTCAATTTCATATCGTCAAATTTCTGTTGAATTTTAATTTAGAGTCAAGAGAGTTTTACAAGCAAGATCAATTTTTTATTCTCCATACGTTGTCTTAAATAATTATCCATTTAATTTTAATGAAAAACAAAGAAAAATTTAGACAGTGTTAGATGAACAAAAATCAGAAGCAAGGCAAAGGGGATCATGATAATTTTGCCAATTTTTGAAGATGAGGTTTGTTTAATAAAAATTTCTTTTATTTTTCTAATAATCTTTAAATTCTGTAAAAATAAATTTTGAACAATTTGAATAAATTTGTGATTCATTTACAGATAACAGAATTCTAACAACAATCAAATTATGAAAATCTACAACAGTTAAAATTGGAATAATTGCAGCAGTTTTTAAATATCTACAACAGACAGAATCTGAAAATTTCCCAACAACTAAAATCTGAATAACTACAATAATCAAAATCTGCAAATTTGCAACAATTAAAATCTGAAAATCTGCAAAACAAAAAATGGATTTTCTCTTACAACTATTTGGATTGGTTATAATTACCCTGTGCTTTGATTTTGGTGAAAGTTTTCAAACAAATCCACTTGGAAATGATCAACAACTAACAGAAGAACTTCGTTCATTAGTTGGAGATTCAGTATTTGGTTATGATAAATTATTACTGACATGGTGTCAAAAACAACATCCTGACAATGTTTCATTAGATCTTTCAGGATTGGAATTAAAAAGACTGTCAGACAATGTTATTTCCAGTCATCACGTCATTTGCTTAGATTTGCAAAACAATAAATTTCAATATAGGATACTATTTCAACTCTTTTATAATCAGCGAAATCTTGAGTATCTTAATTTGGCCAAAACAGGTATAAACCTACAATCTTGGCTATTTTCTGCATCACATTCAAAAATTAAAACTTTAATTTTCGACAGTGTAAACAATTATGACTTCGGTAGAGAGAGAAAATATTTACTTCATTTTCGTTTTCCAAATTTAGAAAATCTTTCGATAAAAAACTTAAATCCTAAATTTACTAAGAATCCATATTTTTTCGCTATGGATTTAAGATCAACAAAATTAACACACTTATTTTTGTCAGACAATAATATTCATGAATTAAATAATACGTCTTTTAAAAGAATCCCCTCAACATTGACACATTTATTTTTAGAAAGATGTAATCTTAATTCATATACAGCATCAAAAAATTATACATTATCTTTAATATCTCTATCAATGGATGGTAATAATTTTTCATGTTCAAATGATGGTTGTTTAAATTTTGAAAATCATCCAAAATTAAAATATTTATCATTAGCAAATTGTGAAATAATTTCACTTTCAAATAATACATTTTTATCAAATTTAAAACTTATTTATTTGGATTTATCAGGAAATCAAATTCAACAATTATCAGAAAGGATATTTCTCAAAACACCAGTACTAGAATCATTAAATTTAAATGACAATAAACTTCAAAAAATACCAAATTTTCATAGTTTGGTAAATTTAAAGAAATTATATGTCAAAAATAATCAAATAACAAATTTGAATAAAGATTCATTTAGTAGTAGTTTAGAAAATTTACAAATTTTATCATTGAGTACAAATAATATTGATTCTATTGATAGTAATACTTTTGATAATTTGTTGAGTTTAATTGTACTTGATCTTTCTGGTAATCAAATAAGTAATTTAGAATATCGTTCAACATTCAATTTGCAATATTTGATTTTAACAAATAATACAATTTCATCGATGGATAATATACAATTGGGAAATAATACAACATTAGAATATTTGGTTCTTGTGAATAATCCATTAATGAGTATAACGCCTAAAATGCTTCAATTTTTGCCTGATGATACGACAATTGTATTGAAAGAAAAATCGACTGTGTCATAATAAAAGAAAACATTTATCTCTATCTCTAAATATATTTTTTTTTTAAAAAAACAACTATTCCTTGTTAAATTAGAGATAGTTGTATAAAAAATAATTTACGAAAGGCAGAAAAATTTACCTATAATAATTATTTTTTTCATGATTTTGTTGGCATCTGTTTAATGCACAGTGGTGCAAAATCAATATTCTTCTATCCTTACTGTAAAGATCATAATTTTAATGCAAATTGCACCAATTTTTTTGTAATTACAAAAATTTTTATTACCAAACAAACAGAAATATTTTTTATTGTGCTATAACTATTTATTATTCCTAAAATAATATAAATGTAAAACAATATAAATATAATCATTTTAATTAAGATTAGATACATCAAATTCTCTTTGTACGTTAATAATTTTATTACTTTTTTTATCAGTTAGAGATTTTTTTAAAAATTCCTTTTAATGATTAATTGAAATAAATTTTTTTTTTATTTCAACTTCAGTTTATTGTATCTCTAATAAATGAAGTTTTATTCGAAGATAATAAATAAAAATTTGATAATAAAGTTCACATGAGTCGATTTCATATCGCCAAATTTTCTTTTGAAGTAATTTTAGTTTGAGTCAACAGAGTCTTACAAGCAAGACCAATTTTTTATTCTCCATATGTTTTCTAAATAATTTTCCATTTGCATTTTGAAATAATGAAACAAAAAAAAAGTTAAATAAAAAAATTAATTACTTAATTATAACAAAAAGCAAAGATAAATTTAGAAAGTGTTAAGTGAACAATACTCAAAAGCAAGGCAAACGTGACAATTTTGCTACTTTTGAATATGAGGTTTGTTTTATAAAAAATTTCTTGTATAATAATTTTTAAAACATTATAAAATTTTTAAATTCTGCAAAAATAAATGCCTTTCATTTAAGCTATGTGAATAAATTTTTAATTCATTTACAGATAAAATACTGCTAACCAAACAACAATTAAAATCGGAATATCTACTACAGTTAAAATCTGAAAACCTACAACAATCAAAATCTGCAAATTTGCAACAATTAAAATCTGAAAATCTGCAAAACAAAAAATGGGTTTTCTCTTACAATTATTTGGATTGGTTATAATTACCCTGTGCTTTGATTTTGGTGAAAGTTTTCAAACAAATCCACTTGGAAATGATCAACAACTAACAGAAGAACTTCAATCATTAGTTGGTGATGCAGTATTTGGTTACGATGAATTATCACTGACATGGTGTCAAAAACAACATCCTGACAATGTTTCATTGGATCTTTCAGAATTAGGAATAAGAAATCTTCCGAAAAATTTTATTTCCAGTCAACACGTCACTTGCTTAGATTTGCAAAACAATGAATTTGAAAATAGGACAGAATTTAACATCTTTAAGAAACAGCCAAACCTTGAGTACTTGAATTTAGCCAAAACAAATGTAAACCTACAATATTTGCTATATGATGCTTCACATCCAAAAATTAAAACTTTAGTTTTAGATAGAGCAAGTAATTATAGGTTCAATGAGAATGAAAAGGTACTTCATCTTCGTTTTCCCAATTTAGAAAATCTTTCTTTACAACAATTAAATTATCACAATAGTTACAATCCGCATTTATCCTATATCGATTTTAGTTCAACAAAATTAACTCACTTATTTTTGTCAAACAATAATATTCCTAAATTAAATGATCAGTTTTTTGAAAAATTCCCCTCAACATTGACACATTTATTTTTAGAAAGATGTAATCTCAATTCATATTCATCATCAATAAATCAAACAGCATCTATAATATCTCTATCAATGGATGGTAATAAATTTTCATGTTCAAATGGTGGTTGTTTAGATTTTGAAAATCATCCAGAATTAAAATGTTTATCATTGGCAAATTGTAAAATAATTTCACTTTCACACAATACATTTTTATCAAATTTAAAACTTATTCATTTGGATTTATCAGGAAATCAAATTCAACAATTATCAGAAAGGACATTTCTCAAAACACCAGCACTAGAATCATTAAATTTAAATGACAATCAACTTTGGAAAATACCAAATCTTCATAGTTTGATTAATTTGAAAAATTTATATGTTAAAAATAATCAAATAACAAATTTAGATAAAGATTCATTTAGTAGTTTAGAAAATTTACAAATTTTATCATTGAGTACAAATAATATTGATTCTATTGATAGTAATACTTTTGATAATTTGTTGAGTTTAATTGTACTTGATCTTTCTGGTAATCAAATAAGTAATTTAGAATATCGTTCAACGTTCAATTTGCAATATTTGATTTTAACAAATAATACAATTTCATCGATGGATAATATACAATTGGGAAATAATACAACATTAGAATATTTGGTTCTTGTGAATAATCCATTAATGAGTATAACACCTAAAATGTTTCAATTTTTGCCTGATGATACGACAATTGTATTGAAAGAAAAATCGACTGTGTCATAATAAAAGAAAACATTTATCTCTATCTCTAAATATATTTTTTTTTAAAAAACAACTATTCCTTGTTAAATTAGAGATAGTTGTATAAAAAATAATTTACGAAAGGCAGAAAAATTTATAATAATAATCATTTTTTTCATGATTTTGTTGGCATCTGTTTAATGCACAGTGGTGCAAAATCAATATTCTTCTATCCTTACTGTAAAGATCATAATTTTAATTTAATGCAAATTACACCAATTTTTTTGTAATTACAAAAAGTTTTTTTTACCAAACAAACAGAAATATTTTTTATTGTGCTATAACTATTTACTATATTCCTAAAATAATATAAATGTAAAACAATATATAAAAATAAATAAATGACATAAAATTCTCTTTGTACGGTAATAATTTTATTACTTTTTTTTATCAGTTAGATATTTTTTTAAAAATTCCTTTTAAAGATTAATTGAAATAAATTTGTTTTTATTTCAACTTCAGTTTATTATATCTCTAATAAATAAAGTTTTATTCGAAAATAATAAATAAAAATTTGATAGCAAAGTTCACATAAGTCAATTTCATATCGCCAAATTTTCTTTTGAAGTAATTTTAGTTTGAGTCAACAGAGTCTTACAAGCAAGACCAATTTTTTATTCTCCATATGTTTTCTAAATAATTTTCCATTTGCATTTTGGAATAATAAAACAAAAAAAAAGTTAAATAAAAATAAACAGATATTGAAATAAATATATATTATTAAAGTTTTTTAATTTTTAATTACTTAATTATAACAAAAAGCAAAGAGGCTACACACATACGCATAATGTAATGGCTAAGCCGAATGACGTTCGGAATTGATCGGGCGGGCTCGTGTATCTTTGCGTGAATTAGTGAAACAAACTGAAAACGAACCGTGCGGGCCTCATCCAATGTTTTGACTTTTTTTCAGATAAAGTATATGAGCCGGTTTTTGAAACAATTCACTAACCGACAATATTTTTAAGGTTAAATTTAGAAATTTTAATTTAAATTAGTAATTAAAATACAATTTTAATTTATTATTTAAATTTCATTTTAAATTTTTATAAAATTTAGAATTCTAAATGTTCTCTCTTCGAATGCATATAGTTGAATAAGTACGAAATTCGTTTTCAATAAATCTTATCATAATTATTATAAATTTTTAATTAAAAAATGTTTTTCTTAAACGTATGGGTGATTTCACGTGAGATTTCAGTCGACCCTTTAATTTCAGCCAAATATAATTTTTTCGTGTTCTGTAGTGAAAAAAAGATACTTTCTTTATGCAAATTTTCGAGTTATAAATTTTCAAAATTTCAGTTTTGTAAATGTTGACAAAAAACTGGATTTTTTCAATTTTTGCCAAGAGAAGAAAAGTTCCAGTTTATCTTTTACTTTTCAATAATGTTAACGAAATTTTTTTTTCATTTTTTATTAAAAAATAAAAAAATTAAGTTTTTTTAAATTGGAATATGATTTTAAAAAAAATTTTAAACATACCTGAAAATACTAAGAAATACTGGAAATAACTAAGATTATAGGTTTAAATAAACATTTAAACACTGCGCGCAGCATTGTGCACATTTCTGAAAAGTAAAAAAATTGTTAAATTGTTAAAAAATTTTCTTTCATTTTTCATAGTGAAATAAAATTTCAGGTTTCAAAAAAAATTATTTTAAATAATTTTTAACAATTTACCAATTGTTTTACTATTCAAAAATGTGCACAATGCTGCAAGTGGTGTTTTTTTTTAAATACATAAAAATATAAAACTTATTGGCCGACTCTAAATTTTTTCACTAAATCTTCTTCTTATTTCCAGGTATGCTTTAAAAAAATCACATACAAATTAAAAAAAAATTTAATTTGTTTATAAAAAATTGTTACTTTTATAATTAAATATGAAAAACAAATTTTGTTGATAACACTATTGAAAAGTAAAAAAAACTGACATAATTTTTATAAATATTATCTTTATTTATTTAATTTAGTTAAACATAAATAATAATGTGAAACTAAACACCATAGAATATTCTATACAAATTAATAATGTATTAAATTGTGGGTAATTTTAATAGGTATTGACAACAATGTTTACAATTTAAATTTTAAGAATATTCTCATTTTATTTAAAATTAAATCATTTTTTACTTGGACAAGCCCAAAGAAAAAATAATTAATTAATTTACAAAAACAATTTTTCTGATTTAAAAACCTATAAAATATTTTTTAAAATTGATTATTTTATTTATTTATTTTAAGTTAAAACATTTAATCTCTTGACAAAATGTTTTTAAATTTAATATTTTAAAAAATGTAAGCTACTTATAATGTGTAAACATTTACAAATCGAAAATTTAAAAGTATAATATAAAAAAAATTATATTTTTTTATAAACTATTAAATAGACATAAAAAATTGATTCAATTTTAAATAAAATGAGAACATTCTTAAGAATTAAATTATAAACATTGTTGTCAGTATTAGGTAAAATTTTTAAATTCTAAAATTTTATTATAATATTACAAAAAATATTTTTCAAAAATTTTAACGGCAAAATAATAAAAAGAATTTAATTTTTCTTTTAATATGACTTTGACAAAAGCACATTATTTCACATTACTAATCTATGATTTAACTGAATTAAATAAATAATGATAATATTGTAATATCGAAAATTTTTTTACTTATTATAAAATAATTATGATAAGATTTATTGAAAACGAATTTCGTACTTATTCAACTATATGCATTCGAAGAGAGAACATTTAGAATTCTAAATTTTATAAAAATTTAAAATGAAATTTAAATAATAAATTAAAATTGTATTTCAATTACTAATTTAAATTAAAATTTCTAAATTTAACCTTAAAAATATTGTCGGTTAGTGAATTGTTTCAAAAACCGGCTCATATACTTTATCTGAAAAAAAGTCAAAACATTGGATGAGGCCCGCACGGTTCGTTTTCAGTTTGTTTCACTAATTCACGCAAAGATACACGAGCCCGCCCGATCAATTCCGAACGTCATTCGGCTTAGCCATTACATTATGCGTATGTGTGTAGCCTCACCGATTTAAGGAATATATATAGCTAACCACCTAAGCTTCGATATTTTGACCGCGAGGGGGCAGACTTTAATAGAAAAGCGCGATTTGCATTACGTGCTTACTCTCAATTCCTCTCTGATTGTATCTCTAATAAATAAAGTTTTATTCGAAAATAATAAATAAAAATTTGATAGCAAAGTTCACATAAGTCAATTTCATATCGCCAAATTTTCTTTTGAAGTAATTTTAGTTTGAGTCAACAGAGTCTTACAAGCAAGACCAATTTTTTATTCTCCATATGTTTTCTAAATAATTTTCCATTTGCATTTTGGAATAATAAAACAAAAAAAAAAGTTAAATAAAAAAATTAATTACTTAATTATAACAAAAAGCAAAGATAAATTTAGAAAGTGTTAAGTGAACAATACTCAGAAGCAAGGCAAACGTGACAATTTTGCTACTTTTGAATATGAGGTTTGTTTTATAAAAATTTCTTGTATAATAATTTTTAAAACATTATAAAATTTTTAAATTCTGCAAAAATAAATGCCTTTAATTTGAGCTATGTGGATAAATTTTTAATTCATTTACAGATAAAATACTGCTAACCAAACAACAATTAAAATCGGAAAATCTACTACAGTTAAAATCTGAAAACCTACAACAATCAAAATCTGCAAATTTGCAACAATTAAAATCTGAAAATCTGCAAAACAAAAAATGGGTTTTCTCTTACAATTATTTGGATTGGTTATAATTACCCTGTGCTTTGATTTCGGTGAAAGTTTTCAAACAAATCCACTTGGAAATGATCAACAACTAACAGAAGAACTTCAATCATTAGTTGGTGATGCAGTATTTGGTTACGATGAATTATCACTGACATGGTGTCAAAAACAACATCCTGACAATGTTTCATTGGATCTTTCAGAATTAGGAATAAGAAATCTTCCGAAAAATTTTATTTCCAGTCAACACGTCACTTGCTTAGATTTGCAAAACAATGAATTTGAAAATAGGATAGAATTTAACATCTTTAAGAAACAGCCGAACCTTGAGTACTTGAATTTAGCCGAAACCTATGTAAACCTACAATATTTGCTATATGATGCTTCACATCCAAAAATTAAAACTTTAGTTTTAGATAGAGCAAATAATTATGGGGACAATGAGAATGAAAAGGTACTTCATCTTCGTTTTCCCAATTTAGAAAATCTTTCTTTACAACAATTAAATTATCACAATAGTTACAATCCGTATTTATCCTATATCGATTTTAGTTCAACAAAATTAACTCACTTATATTTGTCAAACAATAATATTCCTAAATTAAATGATCAGTTTTTTGAAAAATTCCCCTCAACATTGACACATTTATTTTTAGAAAGATGTAATCTCAATTCATATTCATCATCAATAAATCAAACAGCATCTTTAATATCTCTATCAATGGATGGTAATAAATTTTCATGTTCAAATGGTGGTTGTTTAGATTTTGAAAATCATCCAGAATTAAAATATTTATCATTGGCAAATTGTGAAATAATTTCACTTTCACACAATACATTTTTATCAAATTTAAAACTTATTCATTTGGATTTATCAGGAAATCAAATTCAACAATTATCAGAAAGGACATTTCTCAAAACACCAGCACTAGAATCATTAAATTTAAATGACAATCAACTTTGGAAAATACCAAATCTTCATAGTTTGATTAATTTGAAAAAATTATATGTTAAAAATAATCAAATAACAAATTTAGATCAAGATTCATTTAGTAGTTTAGAAAATTTACAAATTTTATCATTGAGTACAAATAATATTAATTCTATTGATAGTAATACTTTTGATAATTTGTTGAGTTTAATTGTACTTGATCTTTCTGGTAATCAAATAAGTAATTTAGAATATCGTTCAACATTCAATTTGCAATATTTGATTTTAACAAATAATACAATTTCATCGATGGATAATATACAATTGGGAAATAATACAACATTAGAATATTTGGTTCTTGTGAATAATCCATTAATGAGTATAACGCCTAAAATGCTTCAATTTTTACCTGATGATACGACAATTGTATTGAAAGAAAAATCGACTGTGTCATAATAAAAGAAAACATTTATCTCTATCTCTAAATATATTTTTTTTTTTAAAAAACAACTATTCCTTGTTAAATTAGAGATAGTTGTATAAAAAAATAATTGACGAAAGGCAGAAAAATTTATAATAATTATTTTTTTTCATGATTTTGTTGGCATCTGTTTAATGCACAGTGGTGCAAAATCAATATTCTTCTATCCTTACTGTAAAGATCATAATTTTAATTTAATGCAAATTACACCAATTTTTTTTGTAATTACAAAAAGTTTTTTTTTTACCAAACAAACAGAAATATTTTTTATTGTGCTATAACTATTTATTATTCCTAAAATAATATAAATGTAAAACAATATATAAAAATAAATAAATAACATAAAATTCTCTTTGTACGGTAATAATTTTATTACTTTTTTTATCAGTTAGAGATTTTTTTAAAAATTCATTTTAATGATTAATTGAATTAAATTTTTTTTTATTTCAACTTCAGTTTATTGTATCTCTAATAAATGAAGTTTTATTCGAAGATAATAAATAAAAATTTGATAATAAAGTTCACATGAGTCAATTTCATATCGCCAAATTTCTTTTGAAGTAATTTTAGTTTGAGTCAACAGAGTCTTACAAGCAAGACCAATTTTTTATTCTCCATATGTTTTCTAAATAATTTTCCATTTGCATTTTGGAATAATAAAACAAAAAAAAAGTTAAATAAAAATAAACAGATATTGAAATAAATATATATTATTAAAGTATTTTAATTTTTAATTACTTAATTATAACAAAAAGCAAAGATAAATTTAGAAAGTGTTAAGTGAACAATACTCAAAAGCAAGGCAAACGTGACAATTTTGCTACTTTTGAATATGAGGTTTGTTTTATAAAAAATTTCTTGTATAATAATTTTTAAAACATTATAAAATTTTTAAATTCTGCAAAAATAAATGCCTTTAATTTAAGCTATGTGGATAAATTTTTAATTCATTTACAGATAAAATACTGCTAACCAAACAACAATTAAAATCGGAAAATCTACTACAATTAAAATCGGAAAATCTACTACAGTTAAAATCGGAAAATCTACAACAATCAAAATCTGCAAATTTGCAACAATTAAAATCTGAAAATCTGCAAAACAAAAAATGGGTTTTCTCTTACAATTATTTGGATTGGTTATAATTACACTGTGCTTTGATTTTGGTGAAAGTTTTCAAACAAATCCACTTGGAAATGATCAACAACTAACAGAAGAGCTTCAATCATTAGTTGGTGATGCAGTATTTGGTTACGATGAATTATCACTGACATGGTGTCAAAAACAACATCCTGACAATGTTTCATTGGATCTTTCAGAATTAGGAATAAGAAATCTTCCGAAAAATTTTATTTCCAGTCAACACGTCACTTGCTTAGATTTGCAAAACAATGAATTTGAAAATAGGATAGAATTTAACATCTTTAAGAAACAGCCAAACCTTGAGTACTTGAATTTAGCCAAAACAAATATACACCTACAATATTTGCTATATTATGCTTCACATCCAAAACTTAAAATTTTAGTTTTAGACAGAGCATACAATTATAGGTTCCGTAGTGAGAATAGAAAGGTACTTCATCTTGATTTTCCAAATTTAGAAAAACTTTCTTTACAACAATTATATCCTCACGATAATTACAATCCATATTTATCATATTTCGATTTTAGTACAACAAAATTAACACATCTATTTTTGTCTAACAATAAAATTGGTGAAATAAATGAACAATTTTTTGAACGATTCCCCGCGACACTAACACATTTATTTGTAGAAACATGTAGTCTCACTTCATATTCAGCATCAATGAACAAAACAAAATCATTAATTTCTCTATCAATGGATGATAATAAATTTTCATGTTCAAATGGTGGTTGTTTAGATTTTGAAAATCATCCAGAATTAAAATATTTATCATTGGCAAATTGTGAAATAATTTCACTTTCACATAATTCATTTTTATCAAATTTAAAACTTGTTTATTTAGATTTATCAGGAAATCAAATTCAACAATTATCAGAAAGGACATTTCTCAAAACACCAGTACTAGAATCATTAAATTTAAATGACAATCAACTTTGGAAAATACCAAATCTTCATAGTTTGATTAATTTGAAAAAATTATATGTTAAAAATAATCAAATAACAAATTTAGATCAAGATTCATTTAGTAGTTTAGAAAATTTACAAATTTTATCATTGAGTACAAATAATATTAATTCTATTGATAGTAATACTTTTGATAATTTGTTGAGTTTAATTGTACTTGATCTTTCTGGTAATCAAATAAGTAATTTAGAATATCGTTCAACGTTCAATTTGCAATATTTAATTTTAACAAATAATATAATTTCATCGATGGATAATATACAATTGGGAAATAATACAACATTGGAATATTTGGTTCTTGTGAATAATCCATTAATGAGTATAACGCCTAAAATGCTTCAATTTTTGCCTGATGATACGACAATTGTATTGAAAGAAAAATCGACTGTGTCATAATAAAAGAAAAAATTTATCTCTATCTCTAAATATATATATTTTTTTGAAATTTTTGTTTTCTCTTTTTGTGATTTTCTGTAACAACTATTTCTTGTTAAATTAGAGATAGTTATAAAAAAAACAAAAAAATTTACGAAAGGCAGAATAATTTATAATAATATTTCTTTTCACGACTTTGTTGCCATCTGTTTAATGAATAGTGGTGCAGAATTAATTTACTTTTATACTTTAAAGATCATAATTTTAATGCAAAATGCAACAATTTTTTTTATAATTCCAAAATTTTTTTTACCAAACAAAATTTGTAGGTTACCAATTTTTATTTGAAAATATTTTATTATTCGAATTTTATTTTCAATGCCAAAAATTTTGTGCCAAATCTTTATTTGTACGAATTTTCATTCACACAAATTTTTATTTAATACAATTGTTAAAATGCCAAATTTGTTCGAAATTGCAAATAGCAGGGAAAAAAACAGAAAATTTTATAATTTCTTTTTTATCCTTGGTTATTTATAATAAATTACTGTGAAAATATTTTTAATCTACATTTTGCATTAAAACAATGATATGTAATTTTCTAATTTTAGTTTTTTTTTAATGATACATGTAATCAAATTAAAATTGAAATATATGTAGTTTTTGGAAAATTTTCTATAATAAAGCAAACAACTTATATTTTTGTGAAATTAATTATTCATATCTATCATCCGGAGGATATTTTTGAATCTCTTACATTGTCCTCTAAAGGAAATGTGTATTTTTTTTTATCATTTATGATTATTTATCTAAAAAGATTTGAGGGATTCCCATATATGTTCAATTTTATGTGGGAGGATGAATTTTATAAAAGCGTTCAACTTCCAAAATTCCACGCAGTAGATTTTCGAAAAGCATTTCATTCAGTGAAATAAAATATTCAAATTGATTGTTAGAAATTCAAAAATTTACTGAATCAACAGTTAAATATAAAAAAAAATTTATATTTGTAAAAATGGCTTTTCTCTTGCAATTATTTGAATTGGTGATAATTATACTGTGCTTTGATTTTGGTGAAAATTTTCAAATAAATCCACTTGGAAATGATCAACAACTAACAGAAGAACTTCGTTCATTAGTGATGGAAGACCATTTTGGTTATGATGAATTATTGCTGACATCATGCGAGAAACAACATCAGGACAAAATTTCACTTGATTTTTCAAATTGGAAAATAAAAAAACTTCCGGAAAATTTCATTTCCAGTCAACTCGTCACTTGTTTTGATCTACATGACAACAAATTGGAAACTAACCAAACATTTAACATTTTTAAGAAGCATACCAATCTTGAATACTTGAATTTGGCTAATAACAAATTTAATCTAACAATGTTTCTGAACGATGCTTCACATTCAAAAATTAGAACTTTAGTTTTGGACAATTCCAGATATTCACATTACAATTATGACAGAATAAATTTTCATTTACCGAACTTAGAGTACCTTTCTTTACAGAGAACACATTATGCAAGTGGATGCTTTGGTTTTTATTGTTTCAATTTTAAATCGACAAATTTGACTCACTTATTTTTGTCAAACAATTTAATTGGGGAGATAAGCTCTCTTATTTTGGAAAATTTTCCTACAACCTTAACCCATTTGTTTGTAGACAATTGTAACATCAGTAGTTATTCATATTCACAAGAGGTATCGTCTAATTTAATTTCTTTATCAATGGATGGAAATTCATTTACCTGTGTAAATTATTTTGATGAATGCTTAAATCTCAAATGTTATCCAAACTTGAAATACTTATCTCTGTCAAATTGTAAAATAAGTGATATAGACAGAGACACCTTTTACTCTAGTCCAAAGCTTATCTACTTGGACATATCAAAAAATAAAATTAAAAAATTGTCAGAAGAAGTATTTTATAAAACACCTGCTCTCGAATCGCTAAATCTAAACAGCAATGAACTTTCAAAAATACCAAATCTAAATATTTTAGGTAACTTAAAAAAATTATACATTAATAATAATAATATAACATATTTGAATCAAGAATCATTCAGCAATTTAAGAAATTTGCAAATCTTATCATTAGGTAGTAATAATATTCATTCCATTGATGGCAGTGTTTTTTATAATCTTACAAATTTAATAGTACTTAATCTTTATGGAAATAAACTATCTACATTTGACTATAGTCCATCGTATAATTTAAAATATTTAATTTTAACAAATAATTTATTTTCTTCAATGGAAAATATTAAATTGAAAAATACAACCACAAAATATTTGGTTATTACAGACAATCCTTTAATGAATATAACGCTTAAAACACTAAAATCTTTTTCAGAAGATATGATGATTGTAATGAAACAAAAAATTGCCTAATCTCTTTTGTTATATAAGAATAATTACATCTGTATTTCAAAATATTAATTCTACTTATTGTTTAACGAAAAAAAAAAAAAAAGAACATCTATAGAATGTTCAATTAATGTGTATTTTAAAATTTTATAAATAAAATTATTACAAAAATAGCTAAACACATTCCTATTTCAATCCTAATCTTTGACATAAAATTAAAGTATAAATTTTCATTTTTATTCTTTGCTTAATATTAATATAAATATTTGTAGAACAAAAGTGTTTTTTTTTTATGAATGCATAAATTCAAAATTTTTTTTTACAATATTCTAAGTGAATTTTTCTGTTTTGAAGAGAAAAAAAATTGAGAAATAAATAAATTTCTTTTATCACTAGCCCAAAAGTTACATTACAGAAGGTAATAAAAGTATTTTTTTTTTAAAGCATTACAAAATTTTAAATATATTTGAAAATTTCAAAATAGCGAAACTTAGCATCAAGGGTTTTTTAGGGTCGCTAAATATGAATCTGAGATCGAAATTGAAACATTCAAAATGGCGGATCCAATATGGCGGAAGAAATTTTAAGGAATTTGTTCCAATTTTTATGAAACTTGGTATTAGGGGGTTTTTGGGGTCGCTTATTACGAATTTGAAGTCGAAATAAAAAAAATTCAAAATAGCGGAAGAAATTCTTAAGAAATTTTTATGATTTTTATGAAAATTTTTAATAAATTAAAGTGAAAATATTTTTTATGTACATTTCCAGTGATTTTAAATATTTGTCCGACATATTGGATCCGTCATTTTGAAATTTGAAAAATGGACTTTAGATTCGTAATCAGCGACCTCGAAAACCTCCGAGTAATAAGTTTCAAGCAAATTCAATGAATTTTTAAAAAATAATCCGCTATATTGGATCCGCCATTTTGAAATTTGAAAAATGGACTTTAGATTCGTAATCAGCGACCTCGAAAACCCCCGAGTAATAAGTTTCAAGCAAATTCAATGAATTTTTAAAAAATAATCCGCCATATTGGATCCGCCATTTTGAAATTTGAAAAATGGACTTCAGATTCGTAATCAGCGACCTCGAAAACCCCCGAGTAACCATTTTGAGGCAGAATTAATGACTTTTTAACTGTTAGTTCAATATTCTGTTCATATCTACTAAATTGCATTTACTTTTCCGCCATTTTGAGTCCGCCATTTTGAAATTGAAGGTTCTCATGAACATAGTTTAAAAGTACAACTATTTTATCCAGCAATAGGATAGGTTAGATGTCTTAGAAAAAATGTTTTCGGCTTCAAAAAAAATATTTAAAAAAAAAAAATGATTTTTTGGGTTTTTTTTTTTATTTTATTCGACATATTGGATTTCCTGGTCGACCAATGTCTATTTTGACCTCAAAATCTGAAAGAGCGATACCCAATACCCCCTAGAACCCATGGGCATTAAAATATCTGGTCTTTTAATGTTTTAATTCTTTCATTGAAGTTAAGTTAAAAATTGTGGACATTTGGGCGTTAATGGGTTAAAAAACATTTTTCTTTCTTTTAAATTACAGCTTTTTACATGTACTTTTAACTAATAAATAGTATTCTTTAAAAAGTTTCATTGTTTTTTTTTTTGGAAAATATTCTTGTAAAAAGCATTATTTTTTGAGTTACAACTGGTGTTCCCCCCCCCCCCCCCTTAATGATACTTGTAATCAAATTAAAATTGAGATATGTGTGGTTTTTGGAAAATTATCTAATGAACACAATATATATTTTCGTAGAAATTAATTATTCATATCTATCATCCGGAGGAAATTTGAACTCTTACATTGTCCTCTAAAGGAAATGTTTTTTCTTATCATTTATGATTATTTATCTAAAAAGATTTGAGGGATTCCCATATGTTCAATTTTATGTGGGAGGATAAATTTTATAAAAGCGTTCAACTTCCAAAATCCAATGCAGTAGCTTTTCAAAAAGCGTTTCATTCAGTTAAATAAAATATTCCAATTGACTGTTAAAAATTAAAAATTACACAAGTGAATAAACAATTCAATTAAAAAAAAAAATTTATATTTGTAAAAATGGATTTTCCTTTGCAATTATTTGGATTGGTGATAATTACACTGTGCTTTGATTTTGGTGATAGTTTTCAAACAAATCCACTTGGTAGTGATCAACAACTAACAGAAGAACTTGGTTCATATGTTGGAGATGGAGTATTTGGTTACAATCAATTATTACTGACATGGTGTCAAAAACAACATCCTGACAATGTTTCATTGGATCTTTCAGAATTAGGAATAAAGAAACTTCCAGAAAACTTCATTTCAAGTCAACACGTTACTTGTTTGGATTTACAGAATAATGAATTTTCAAACACAGTGGATTTTAACATTTTTCAAAATCAACCAAATCTCCTTTACCTGAATTTGGCAAAAAATAACATTAATCTACGAAATTTGCTAAATTTCACCTCACATGAGAAAATTAAAACACTAGTTTTGGATAATTTGATAACTTATGAAAAAAATCAATATTTAAAAAAATACAAAAAATATTCTTTCAATAGCTACAATTACAACAACGACTATGACGACAACAACAACGACTATGACTACAACAACAACAACAACAACAACTATGACGACAACAACAACAACGATATAATTGATCTTCTTTTACCAAATTTAGAAAATCTTTCTTTAAGAAATTTAAATCCAAATCAAGAAATTAAATTTCCTTTGTTTGATTTTACTTTGTCAAAATTAACACATCTATTTTTGTCTAACAATAAAATTCGTGAAATAAATGAACAATTTTTTAAACGATTTCCCGCGACATTAACACATTTATTTGTAGAAAAATGTAGTCTCACTTCATATTCAGCATCAATGAACAAAACAAAATCATTAATTTCTCTATCAATGGATGATAATAAATTTTCATGTTCAAATGGTGGTTGTTTAGATTTTGAAAATCATTCAGAATTAAAATATTTATCATTGGCAAATTGTGAAATAATTTCACTTTCACATAATACATTTTTATCAAATTTAAAACTTGTTTATTTAGATTTATCAGGAAATCAAATTCAACAATTATCAGAGAGGACATTTTTGAAAACGCCAGCACTAGAATCATTAAATTTAAATGACAATCAACTTTGGAAAATACCAAATCTTCATAGTTTGATTAATTTGAAAAAATTATATGTGAAAAATAATCAAATAACAAATTTAGATCAAGATTCATTTAGTAGTTTAGAAAATTTACAAATTTTATCATTGAGTAAAAATAATATTCATTCTATTGATGATAGTGCATTTGATAATTTGTTGAATTTAAAAGTACTTGATTTGTCTGATAATAAAATTAATTATTTTGATTATCGTCCAGCGATTAATTTGGAATATTTAATTTTAACAAATAATTTAATATCTTCGATGGAAAATATTAAATTAGGTAATACAACATTGAAATATTTGGTACTTAAAAATAATCCAATAAAGTCTTTGAAGCCAAAAGATCTTAAATTTTTATTGGATGATACAACAATTGTGCTTGGTAATTCTTAATTTTTTTTTTTAAATATCATAAAAATTGAAATTTATGTTTAATGTAGGCTAAAGATTTGAGTTTTTAATAATAATTATTGGTATACTATTGTAATAATGCTTTTGATAAATGTTTTAATTTTGATTATTTTGCTATATAGGAAAAATTAATTTCTTTTAATAATTTTGTTTTGTAATGATTGCACTTATTCGTCATCTGAAGAATTTGATTAAAATTACTCAAAATTATCAGCTAACCTAAACCTTCTTCACTGAAAATTTAAGCACTCATTTGATTTTGAATTCGAAATCATCTCTAAAAAAGGTTGTATAAATATCTTTTAATGCATCTTTGAAGATCTCATTCTAATGTTTCAATATTTGGTAATGGTTGCTACCAATACCCATCTGACTACAAAAATGGTAAGAGTAAATTTACATTCACAGTGAAAAATGAATTCTACTTACTAAATCTGGAACTATATGTTTAGTTGCTACAAGAAATCTATATTGTTGTACTAACAATATAATTACAACAAATTTTTAATTGTTACAACAAATTTTTAGTTGATACAACAAATTTTTACTTGATACAACAAATTTTTACTTGATACAACGATACAAATTTGTTGTAACAACCAAAAAAATTTTTTATATTGTTACTACAACAATACCAGATTTCTTGTGGTGACCAAACAAAATTCGTTGGTTCTAGGTTAAAAAAAAAATTTTATTATTTTACAGATACTATAAACTTCGACCAACGAAGAATTTATGGGTCGCAACTTCCTTTACATCTCAGCATCCAAAGAGTACATCAATCTGACTCAATTGCTTTTTAAAAAATACCATCTGCTAAACCTTTATTTTATCTGCATCTAACTTTGGAAAATCAAATCCTATTTTGAAGAATGAAATATTTTGGAAAATAAAAAGCTACTAGTCAAATTGTCATGATGATCTTCGAAGAATTCTAATTCGATGAAATTTTAAAATTCTACCTTCACTCAAAGCTATTAACAAATTCTAACAGATCAACTTCAGATATTATTATTATTATTATATTATGTTAACTATATTGTCCTATAAAGAGGGAAAATGATTAAATAAAACCATTTATACTTTGTAAAAATTACTATTTCTTTACTATTTCTTTTTTTTCATTCAAAATTCAAAATTACTCTCTAAATCTGAATTAGAAAAAATCTTTACAAATTTAAATTAGTGACTCACTTTTTGCTTTAAAATTAGTTAATTAGTGAAATTTTACTAATTGAGAAGCAAAAATTGAGTCACTAATTTAAATTAGTAAACTTTTTTTTACTAATTCATATTTAGATAGTAGTTTTCCTACAATTCTAAAATTAATTTATTAAAATTTTTATTTCATAAAATTTCATTAGATAAAATTTTCTTTTAATCCAATTTTTAATTGTCCATGCTAAATATAAAATATTTCTTAAAATGGAAATGAATTCAGTAATGATAAAATGATTTCATCTGCGAATGAAAATGACGGAACGCATTAGATTGAGAAACCGATGACAAGTTTTACTTTACGCTTTTCGCGTCATGTTACATCAGAATTGTAATTATGTATGTATATACATATATATACATATATATATATATATATATATATGTAATCCTGCGCGAGGTATCATTTTCAATTTTACATTTATTTTCTCATGCAAATAATGATTCATTTTTGAATAATTAAGAGATTTGTTCTTGATATATTCAAATACCTCAAGGTTATAAATTTATACCATTTGGTGTATGGAAAAATTCAAAGAAAAAAAAAAAATTCCAATTTTTTTTTTAAAGAAACAAAGAATATTACTTGAAAAAAAAATCAAATTCTAATGTTATATAAAAATTTATTAATTTACAAAAAAATTTAGCTATATGAATTAGTAAAAATTTACCAATTACTAAAATATATATTTGTTTTTGCTAATTTATTACATCTTTTATAATCTATTATAAATCTTTTTAAAAAAAAATACATTTCGCACTGCATAATATATAATATTAAAAATAGAAAATTCGGATATGAAAAAAAATTTCTCTCATTTCCTCGTGAAAATATTTTTTAAAAAAGTCTTCTATTTATTTTGGGTAGTGCCACTTATCGAGAAAAAAATTTTTAAAGAAAACAAAGATTAGAGGGTGCAGGGAGGAGGGGGGGGGGTTATTCTATATATCCCAAAAAGAATTTGTCACTATGTATGTCTCACAAAAAAGTTATGCTATATATAAAAAAAAGGTATACTTATATATATAAAAAGTGTAACGTAAGAAAAGTAAAAAAAAAATCCATTTTTTCCCTGATAGGAATTATGTTGCTACATGTCGACAATACAATTTTTCTGATATCCTTTCAACTAAAAATATTTTCATTTCACAAACACAAATATATATATTATATATATTTTTTCAATCGAAGAAAGAAAAAAAATATATCTTTGAGAAAAGAAAAATATTTTGTTCCTTTTCAAATCACCGAAAGAAAAATCATTTTTAAATTTTATTTAAAAAATTTTTTAAAAAATTCCATTTAATATTTACTTTTTGTAATTTGCTTTCTATAATAATAGTAATAATATTAAATAATGGTAAATAATAATAATAATTAATAAAAAAAAATATAAAAAAATAATAATTAATAAAAAAAATATAAAAAAATAATAATAATTACTATTATTTATAATATATTATAAATGTATATTCCTTCCGGGTCAATGCTATATTTAAATATGTAAAAATCCATTTTTGTACATTATCAAAGTAATTACAAATATATTTCATTATAAACAAAGAGATTTTTGTTCTCATAAATGCTTATATTTTGTATAATAATAATAATAATAATAATAATAATAATAAAAATAATAGTAATTATGATGAGGATGGTATAATTTCTATTACATTGTATTGAAACTTTATCACAAATATCATTATAAACACATTTACATATATTTAATTTCAGAATATGTCTTTATTCACAGAGAACTTTCATAATCAAAGAAAATTAAATTGTGATTAAATATATTTCAATTAATTTACTATAAAAATAAAAATAATTAAAAATATATTAATATTAAAAGGAAAAAAAAAAAAAATTTGTAATTCCTTTTGATAATCAAACACCAGTTGCTCAAATCGTTTAAATTTTCATTCAAATTCAATTAAACTGTGGTACTAATTGTTTTCTTAATAAAAAAATGTACTATTTAAAAAAGAATTGGACAAACAGTCAAAACAAAAGTTAAAATTTACAAAAATTTTTTATTCCAAAATTTCGATTTTCATAGTACTTCCAAAAATTTGATTTTCGAAAATTTCGAATATCGATTTTCTATATTACAGAAATTCTTTAAATATTTATTTCTATTTTCATTAAAATTTGTATTTGTTTAAATTTTCTTTTAATAGAATTTTATTTTCGAAAAGTTAAAATTTTCATAAGTTGGAATTTTCAAAATTTCAAATTACTAAAAGTTTATATTTCGGAAATTTTCATTTTTTTAAATTTTTATATTCAAAAAATTCAAATTTTAAATTTCCAAGCTTGATTTTAAAAATACTTTTGATATTCCATACTTTGGTAATCAAAAATTTTAATTTACAAAATTTTTATGTTTCAAAAGTTCGAGTTTCAAATTTCCCACAGTTTAATTTTCCAAAACTTTGATATTTCTAAAAAAATTGATTTTTAATAAATTCAAATTTTCAAATGTTCAAATCGTTAAAAATTGGAATTTCCAAAATTTCAAATTTCCAAAAATTAAAATTTCCCCAAAGTTGAAATTTTTCAAAATTTTGATATTTCAAAAGTTCAAATTTCAAAATTCTAAAAGGTTATTGATTTGCGTAAAATTTGAATTTTGAAAAGTTGGAAATTCCTAAAGTTAGAATTGTTAAAAATGGACAAATTTAATTTGGTAAAAGTTGGAATTTCCAAAAATTTGATATTCCAAAAGTTCAAATTTCAAATTTCTAAAACAATTGATTTTTAATAAATTCGAATTTTCAAATGTTAAAATCGTTAAAAATTGGAATTTCCAAAATTTCAAATTTCCAACAATTAAAATTTTCCCAAATTTCAAATTTTTCAAAATTTTGATATTTTAAAAGTTCAAATTTCAAAATTCTAAAAGGTTTGATTTGCGTAAAATTCGAATTTTGAGTAGTTGGAAATTCCTAAAGTTAGAATTGTTAAAAATGGACAAATTTAATTTGGTAAAAGTTGGAATTTCCAAAAATTTGATATTCCAAAAGTTTTGAAATTCCAAAAATAATTCCAATTATTCGAATTTTTCCATAAATTTGATTTACTTAAAGTTGAAATTTTAAAAAGTTAGAAATTCTTAAACTATTCAGTTAAATTAAAATTCGTAAAAATAAAAATTCAGACAAATGAAAATAGAAAAATTGTCAATTTAATTTTCGATTTATTATAAAAATTCTCTAATATTGAATATCGCCTAATGGAAATAATGTCAAAAATTAATTCGAACAAATATATAAGAATTCCTACAATTTTCCGATAAATGAAAATTCGAACAAATAAAAAAATTCTGTTAAGTAAATTTTTGATTGTATAAAAATTCTTAAATATAGAAATTTGGTTTAATGGGAATTCTATCAAAAAATGAAAAAAAAAAAAAAAAAAAAAAAAAAAAAAAAAAAAAAAAAAAAAAAAAAAAAAAAATTACAACAAATGAAAAATCCATCAAATAGAAATTTTGTAAAATTAATTTTTCCCCCATAAAAATTCTCTAATATAGAAAATCCGTTTAATGAAAATTCTCTCCAAATCATAATTCGAAAAAATGAAAATTCTATCCAACAAAATTCTATCAAATAAAATTTCCAAATAAATTAATTTTAGTCCCTAATATTCATTTGTCTCAAATAATTATGTCTCTCTCTTGTCCAAGTTTTGGGTAAAACAATATTTTTTTTTTTTTTTTTTTGGCAAAAGAAGAAGATGAGAATACTCTCTTGTTAAGGGGTGAGGGGGTTTCGCGTGTGTATGTATGTGCAAAGAGAAGCTTTGGAAAACATTGGCATATAGTCCAAAAAGCGCAAGCGCCATGGGTGGGTTTGTGGGTTGGCAGGGAACGGTTAGACAAAGATCGCCTCGACAAGGGAGAGGTTCATATATATACATATATATATAGAACTACTCTAGTAGAGGAAAAAGGGACGGAAAGAAAAGGAGGAAACGAGAGGGGATTCCCGCAACTGGCTAGCTCAAGTCGTCGCTTTTCAGTTAGTGTTCGCTCGAACGCGGTTTTAACCGTTTCGTTCAACGCGAAGTCACTCTCTCTTTCTCTTTTTTCTCCATCTCTAAATTCTCTCTCTATTTCGTTTTTCACTCATTCTCTTTCACTATAACCAAAAAAAAAAAAATATATATTTTTAAATAATTGTCATGAGTAGAATTTCAATAAAATAATTTATCATCAATGTAAAATAAAAAAAAAAAAGGAAAAGAATTTGTTTTTCTTTTCGAAGAAAAAAAAAAAATTTATACAAAAAGGAGAAATTAATTTTTTTTTTTAGGGGTTGGGTAATTTTTTTTTCGGGGGTTTTTAAAAAAATAAAAAGTGTTCGGAGGACGATGACTTCGCACGGTAGGACGAGAGGGTGGTGGCTTTCTCGGCGTTAAAGAGAGTGGGAATCATAATAGTGGTGTCTCGTGTGTGGTGTCTGTGTGTAAACGTGTATTGTGTGTAAACAAATCGAGGCTTATCATTAACCTAGACATTGAAATTTCCATCAACGGAATTGTAACCAAGTGATTTTTTTTTTAATTTTTTGATTCCTTTTTAAAATTTAAATATTTCGGTGGTAAAAAGAAAACCTTTCCGAAATGATATGGATTGAAAAATATTTCCCAAAAAGGGTATAAAAAAGCAGAAAAATTAATTTTGCTAACATATCGAAAAGGAAAACATTTGGGGGGCAAAAAAGAAATTGAGAAAATAATCTAGCAATCCCCCACCCCACCCCCCTTGAAAACATATCGATGAAAATTTTTCTTAATCAAGAAAGTAAATAAGAAAAGAGGATCAAATTTCATCAATATTTGATGCGAGGAAATATTATAAGTGTTATGTGTGTGTGTGTGTGTGTTTTAATGAAGAGGGGAAAAAGTGATTACAAATGACCTAAAACAACAATTACGAAAAAGGATCTCTAAAAAGAAGAGAGACATTAGTATTTCTAATACAAGTATCAATTTAGAAGGGATAAGAATTTATTTTCTAAATAAGAAATTTTTTTTTCATTCTTAGATTTCTGACAAGCCAAAGAATTTATCAAAACCAAAAAATTACGTTCCACCCTTCGCAAAAGTTGACGGAAGTGAAAAATACTGAAATTTCTACGAGGAAGCAAAAAATCCTTAAAGACGTTTTCAAAATTTTAAAGAATTCTAAAAAAGTATTTCTAAATTTTGCCGGAGCAACAACAGTGCTACCAATATTGGAAAAAAAAATCACCTTCTCCCTTTCACGAAAGTTGGCCGAAATTTCTCCGAGGAACCAAAAAATCCTAAACAAAGTTTTTTAGAAGACTTTTTCGAAATTAAAAAGAAACTGAAAAAATTTTCCAAACAGAGACGAAGCAACATTAGGGTTTGTCCAAAGTGAAGAAAAATCACATTCTACCTTTTGCAAAAGTTGGCGAAATTGAAAAACATCAAAATTTCTTCAACCAAAAAATCTTTAAGAACGTATTTAGAAATTGCAGCAAAATTTTAAGGAAACGTAGAAAAAAAAATATCCAAATTGTGCCACAGCAACCTACCTATACTAAAGAAAAATCATTTCCCGAAAGTTGGCAAAATCGAAAAAATCACCGAAATTCCTCCGAGGAACCAAAAAATCCTAAAGAAAGTTTTTTTTTAGGAGACCTTTTTCGAAATTAAAAAGAAATCGAAAAAATTTTCCAAACAGAGACGAAGCAACATTAGGGTTTGTTCACAGTGAAGAAAAAAATCACTTCCCGAAAGTTGGCAAAATCGAAATTTTGGGATCCGTAAAGCCACAAGGAAGTTTTGACAAAACTTCTCCGAATCCAAAGGAAAACTAAAAATTATTTCCAAAACCAAATCATCAAGCTTGGCAAAAACCAAATTTCCCCAAGGAATCAAAAAATCCCCAAGGTTTTAATCTAAAACAAAAAAAAATTCTTTTCCAAATCACCGAATCTAAGGAAAAATCACCTTCTCCTCTTCGCAAAGTCGAGGAAATAAAAAAAATCACCCAAAAGACATCGGCCTAGAAAAAAAGAAATGATCCTATAAGACTGGTAAAGAAAAAAAAATCTCCTAATCAATATGTCGGAAAAGAATAGTTGTTCACCGGGACTGGTGATTCCACTATGGGAACCAGCAGACAATCTAAGCCTATCGGATGTTATATTTCGTGGTTTGGTCTACTTTTTCATTCTAATGTATCTCTTCATAGGAGTGTCAATTGTAAGTGACAGATTTATGGCAGCGATTGAAGTGATAACATCGCAGGAAAAAGAATTAGTGGTAAGACGTCAGGGACGTGAACCACAAATTATAATTGTTAGGGTATGGAATGAGACGGTGGCAAATTTAACATTAATGGCACTTGGTAGTAGTGCACCAGAAATTCTTCTCTCAATTATTGAAATTTATGCAAAAGATTTTGAATCCGGTGATTTAGGTCCGGGTACAATTGTTGGATCAGCGGCATATAATCTTTTTGTGATTATAGCATTGTGTGTATTTGTAATACCATCGAATGAAACACGTAAAATTAAACATTTACGTGTATTTTTTGTCACAGCAACATGGAGTATATTTGCCTATGTTTGGTTATATTTGATTCTTGCTGTATTTAGTCCAGGTGTACTTGAAGTTTGGGAGGGAATATTAACATTTGCCTTCTTTCCGGCGACGGTACTAACTGCCTATATTGCCGATAGAAGGCTTCTTATCTATAAATATCTTCACAAGGGTTATCGTATGAATAAACGTGGTGTTATCGTTGAAGTTGAAGCTGGCGATTCAGATGCAGCAGTTGAGCTTGAAATTAAAGCACAACATGATGGTATCAATGGAATGGTTGATAGATTTGGTGATGTTGATACATTGGAGGCTAAGGAATTTGAACAAACACGAAAGGATTATATTCAAACATTAAGGGAATTGAGAAAGAAAAATCCACAATTAAGTTTGGAACATTTGGAAGTAATGGCACATGAAGAGGTATTGGGTAAGGGTCCAAAGAGTAGGGCATTTTATCGTGTACAAGCAACAAGAAAAATGGTTGGCGCTGGTAGTTTGAGTAGAAAAATAAGTGAAAGAGCTCAAAGTGATTTGAGTGAGGTTAAAGCCGAATTACAAAGAGCTGAAGCAGAAAGTGTTGATATTGAAGCTGTTAATTGTCAAAGAGTATTTTTTGAACCTGGTCACTATACAGTTATGGAAAATGTTGGAACATTTGATGTGGGTGTTAGTCGATTGGGTGGTGATCTTGATAAAACATGCACTGTTGATTATTACACTGAGGATGGATCGGCGGAAGCTGGTTCCGATTATGTCAGTGCTAAAGGAACACTTATGTTTGAACCTGGCGAAACGAGAAAAACTATTAATTTATCAGTTATTGATGATGATGTCTTCGAGGAGGATGAACATTTTTATGTCAGGTGGGTTTTTATTTATTTATTTTTTTAAATTAGTTATTATAATTTCTATTAAATTAAATGTACATTTTTACATAATTTATACGTAGTTTTATATAATTACTAGCAAAATTATACCAACAGAAACAAAAATTCAATTTATTTAGTCTGCAGAAATCTGCACCGACATGTTACCGACATTTTTTTATTACGCAAGCGCAGTAGTGTAAAGGTGCGTTCATACCTTGACCTTGAGACTTTCGCGCATGCGCAGTAGTATCAAGGTACGTTCATACCTTGACTTTAAGACTTTCGCGCATGCGCAGTAGTATCAAGGTGCGTTCATACCGTGACATTGAGACTTTAGTGCATGCGCAAACAATATTTCACTGCAATTTAACGTTTGAAATCAAATTTTCGAGTTTTCAACTTCGAAATGTTATGAAAAATGTATTTTTTGATAGTAATAAAATTATAAATAAAATTATATAAAATATAAAATTATATAAATTATATACAATAAAAAATAATAAGAAAATATATTTTCATGAAAATAGAGGATAAATTTTTTTTTTCTTTTCGTAAATAAAAAAAAGGAAATAAAATTGTTTGTCCAACTAGAAATGAAAATAGATAATCAGAATAGAAAAAAAATAAAGAAAGAAATCAATCTTGATAAACGAGGTGAAATTTAAACTTTAAACGTCAGAAACTGCTCGTTTCAGCGTTTGAAGTGTCAACTCACTCTCTCTCCTTTCTATATAAAATGCTGGCACGTGTTCAATCAGACTAAAAGGATTTTCAGGGGATGCACTTTATAAGCGATTTTCTCAACAAAAAGCCGATTTTCTAGGTTCAATTTAAAAATGACAAAATTGACTCTTAGAAAAGGGAGGAAAATTATTTTTTTTACAATAAGCAAATAAAAAAAAATTTCTTAGAATTATTTTGTAGTTTAAAAAAAAAATCATTTAAATATTCGTGATTGTCAAGTTTAATTTTATTATAGTGGCTAATTGAATAGTCGATTAAATAAATAATTAATTAATTTATTTGTCTAGGGGAATAATTTTAGTTATTTGTGTAAATAATGTGAATAATATATTTCATTTGAAATTAATCAAGAAGTGTATAATTAATTAAAGCATAGATTTATATATACATATATATGTATGGATCACTATATAACTAGAAATGAAACTTTATGCGGTCAATTTTAGTTTAATGGCTGATGATGAATTCTGATTGTAGATTTGTATAATGTGTAACTAACTAACCTGTATATTTATATAATACTAAAAGAGCAATGGAATTTGAAATGTTTCATAAGTTCAGAAATTGTAATAATTTAGTTTTTTCATTTAATTTTTGTTTTAAAAGAGCTTTAATAGAGGATTCAGGATAATTCAACTTTTTGAGAATTATTTTTTATCTCCCCCTTTTGTTATTTCGAAATTTACATTATTTTTTTTATTTAAAAATAAATTTTAAATTTAATTTTAATAAAATCTTGCAATTCAAAGAAAATTTGTTCTCTTTCTCTTTTATTCAATTTTAATTGAATTGTATTTTTAATTTTGTTTACTAAATTTTTTATCTCTGTTAAGAAACACTAATTTTAAAAATAAAATTTATATATTTTAATAATAATAATTATGAAAAAATAATTTACTAATTATAATAACAATTATAATAATAATTATTATTATTATATGAACGTCTTAAGCAACTTTCAGATGGAATAATTCATTATCTGTCTTGTTTTAAACGAGTTAAATAAACCCGCAGCCTTCCTGCTTAAATGTGAAAATAACAAGAGATTAATTAATTAGCGCAGTTGCTATATAACGACGAGAAAATATTCTACTACTTTTGTCATATTTCAAAGATTCTCAAATAATTTTCTTTCAAAAAATATCTTAAAGTGTATATATGAAATTCTCTCTATTAATTTTCACATTTTTTGTTTATTTTTATTTTTATTGTATTGTTTTTATACAAGGATATTTAAAACAAATTTATATTAATTATAAATTATTATTGTAAATTATTATAAATTATTAAAAAATATTTAAATTATTGTAAATTATTATTATTATTATTATTATTATTATTATTAATATTATTTTTTCTATAATCATTATAAAAAATTAGTTAAATTAATTAAAAATTTCGAATGAGAATAACGAACTAGTAAAAAGGGTTAACAAGGAATAAAAAAAAGTATATCTGTTATATTCCCTCATGGGATCTTGGTACATGTTCTAGGATTAAACAGAATTTAATTGCTCGTTCCGAACTTGACTTCTTATATATATATATATTTTTCCTTCTTTTTATCTTTTTCTCTTTTAAATGAAAAACTCGATGTAAAAAGTGATTGTTATTTTAGAAATATATATATTTTTTATATAAAATTGTGAGGAATAAAATTTACAATTATATAGATAATATTTTCTTATTTGAAATAAATTATAATAAACGAAAAAATTTCAGAAATATTGTGAATGACGTTAAATTATTGGAATATATCACAAAAGAGGATAAAATTTTTCAATTATCGTTCATTGATTCTAATTTAATTTTTTTTACTCTTTTTTTAACATTTTTCCTTTTATATTACATCATTTTATAAAATGCAATTTTAATTTATTTAAAAAATTAAATTATCAATGAAATATGAAATTGAATTTTAATTTATTTCAAAATTGTATTTAATTTAAAAATTTTAATTGAAGTTTAATTAAAATATTTGGAAATTAGAATCATTTTTAATTAAAATTTTTAAATAATTAAATTAAATTTTACTTTTCTTTTGTATTATTTATATATTCCTTAATTTTCACTAAGTTATAGAACAAAAAAGATAATAAATTTTTAAGGTTAATCTTCTTTTCGGAAATTTTTACACGAGTTTCTATAAAAAAAAAAAAAAATATTCAACCGTGGTAGAAAATTGTTACGCGAGTAAAATCACATGTACTATATAATTTATTGTAATTTTGAATAGTAGTATTTTATATATTGTGTTCAATTTCATTTTCTTAAAAAGCAGACTTACTTACTTTATATATATATATATGCAAAATGCGTGACAAGAAGGTATTTGAATATAAGTGCAAAAGTAAGCATTTTCGTTCTAAGAAAATGATAAGAGATTTAATATGAGTATGCGCGAGCGCTGAAAAATATGAAATCATGTACAATGGCTGTATAATAAACAAAGTTTGTTCCTGTTTTCACGTGTAACAATTTTCGTGCGTTGATTACTTATAATGAAGGCTTAAAAGAAAAAAAGAAAAAAAAAATATATATATATATATATGAAACCATTTGGATTTAAGTAGGTCGAACGGGAAATCATTAAAGCACTCTTAAGACTTTCTTGTTTGCAACGCGCGCGTCTCTCTCTCTCTCTCAGCCATGAAGCAAATTAACTCATCCTGTCTTTGAAAAAAAAGAAAAAAAAAATTCAATCCCTACTCACGATTCCCTAATAGATTCGATTCTCCTTTTTTTTTGTTGCAATTTTCACTATTTATATGGAAAATTCCTTCTTTCTTTAAAATTTTTTTTTCCCTCAATTATCGTTCGAAGAAAGAAAAAAAAACCAAATGGTGATAATTATAACGAGTTAGATTATCGGAAAATTATCTATTATCGAAAGAGTCATCTCAATAAAATTAAATTCAATTTATGTGAGAAATAATTTTAAACAGTTATAAATGTTATCTATATTGTAATTTCAAAAATTATCCTTTATCTTCAAATTAACAATTAATATTTGAGAATATGAACATTTCTCTTTTGTTATCTAAAAGTCTATTTGTTGTTATTTCAGTACTATTTATTGGTATCTAAAAAAAAATTATCTATTATCTTCTATTATCTGGAAATTATGCAAATAGAATATGAAAATTATCTATACATATTGTTATTTCTGAAATATTTTTCTCGTTATCTGAAAAAGTAAATTTTTTTATCTAAATATGTATTATCCCTGTGTTATTTTCTGCAATAAACTATATAATTATCTGGATTAAAAGTTATCTAGATAATTAAGATATATAATTACTTATCTAGATAATTAGTTATCTAGATAGGTCAATAGATAATTAGTTATCTAGATAGGTCAATAGATAATTAATTAGTTTTCCAGATAGTTAAATAGATAACTAGTTATCTAGATAGTTAGATACGTAGATAGTTATATAGACAACTAGTTATCTAAATAGTTAGATAAATAAATAGTTATCTATATAACGAGGTATCTAGATAGTTAAATAGATAACTAGATAAATAGATAGTTAAATAGATAACGAGGTATCTAGATAGTTAAATAGATAACTAGTCATCTGGATAGTAAGTTAGTTATAAAGATAACTAGATAAATAGATAGTTAAATAGATAACGAGGTATCTAGATAGTTAAATAGATAAATAGATAGTTAAATAGATAACTAGTCATCTGGATAGTAAGTTAGTTATATAGATAACTAGATAAATAGATAGTTAAATAGATAACGAGGTATCTAGATAGTTAAATAGATAACTAGTCATCTGGATAGTAAGTTAGTTATATAGATAACTAGATAAATAGATAGTTAAATAGATAACGAGCTTTCTAAATAATTAGTTATACAGATAATGAGTTACATAGATACTTAGTTATATAGATGATTAGCTATGTGGATAATTAGTTATATAGATAATTTCTTATCTAGATAATTGTAGATTTCTTAAATAACTAAAAATTATTTAACTTTAGATAATAATTAATATTAAAAATCTGGTTAATTCTATAATGTTCAAAAATATTTAAATTTCAATTTCATGTAATGAAATTTAAAAAAAAATCACTAACCTTACACAACAAATGATGTCGGATCATTGTCTTCTTTTCTTTGAACAATAAAAAATTCGTTTGAAACACACACACACGCGATTTAAAAAATTTCGAACACTCCCGAAACGACGTGATTTTTAACTAAATTAAGAAAACAAAAATACTTTTTTCTAAAAGATTTAAAGCGATCGCGGTTTAAAGAATTTTTCAAACACTCCCGGAAATAGAAAATTAAAAAAAAAATAATTTTTGAAAAATTTACACTTTGATCATCACGTCTTAACAGGTCAATACACGAATTGCAACTGATTTAAATTATTATTGTTTATAACCTTTGGCTTGAGGTCCCCTTTTATTGTATACTTCAAAATGTAAACATAGAGCTCGCGTTATATGCAGGTATAAAAGGTAATAAAATCTGAAAATTGGAATATTTTTAAATTATAATTTTAAAATATTATTTCACTTATATAATATAAATTATTATTAAAATTGTTTAATCTTGAAAATATTCTCTAGATAACTGTAGGAGAGTTAATGATCTTTTGTTATCTAGATAAATTTTTTTTTATTAATCCTTATTTTTTTTACAATTATAGAAATTGAAATTGAAGAATAGGGTAAATGTCCCAATTACTGTGATGTACAACCCAAGACCAACTTTACAGATAAAATAATAAAAGTGTAAATGAAATAATGATTTAATTCTTTTTGTTAAATCACTATTAGTGTCTATTAAAATAGAATAAATGATACTTTAAACTTGAAGAAATAACAAATATATTATTAAAAATATATCAACTTTTTTAAAAATGGCATATGTTGGTATTACTGCAAGTTTGCATGAATTACTGCGAATGGTGTGCACCAATTACTGCAACGCTAAAAGTGTTGATGTAGAGGTTAGGTTAACTGGATAGACCACAGTAATAGCAGCATGAGAAAAATATACGCATGCTCTAATATTACTGTGATAGGTTCAATTGTAACTTGAATAAATAATTTGATAATAGTCGAAATATGCATCATTAGTGGATATAATATAAAATATCATTTCGAATAAGTTTTAAAGTCATTTTGAAACAGTTTTATGTTCTCAATTACTAAGTTTTACTAATTTTATAAAAATCGCAGTAATTGGCGCATCAGCAGTAATTCCTACACTTACCCTATAACTAAATTTTTGTTTCAACAAAATGTATTATCTTTCGTTAAAAAAAAAGAGAAGTGAATTATAATAAATAAATAAGACATTTTTCTGTCCTAAAAAAATGTTTCTCCTTCTTTTTCTCTCTTTCTTTTGCTCTAAGTATACCTATAATCGAGAATCTAGAAAATTGTTTGTAATGGATGCATATATAAGAATATAAAGACACCCTTGGGGTTTATAAAAAAAATTTTTTTTTTTTCCTTCTTCACGCAACATTTTATTTTGTTGCATATATACTATTCTCTCGGCCTATTTCCCTCCCCATTTTTTTTTTACTCTCCCTAGTTATGTATATACATATACCTTTTATGTTTTCTATGAAAATAAATGGATATTATGTATGCGTAAATATTCACTTTATATTTCGGATTGAAAGGAGAATTATTATTATTACTATTATTATAATTATAATTATTAGTGGTGGCTAGTGAGAAAAAAATACTAATACAACATTATTAATTGAATAACTGATTACAATCTGAAGTTATTTAAATAAATATATATATATATATATATAGTAGAGCTTTGAATGACAAATCTAATGTAATCCCTAGCCATCCCCTTTTTTATCACATTTTTTTGTTGTCAACGTAAATGATAAATTATTTTGCATAATTATTTTTTTTAGAATCATTTTTATTAATAAAGTAAATTATTGGTTTAGTAATAATAAAAAAATATAATTAAAATATAAAAATAATAATAATAAAATAATAATACTAATGATCTCTCTGAATCTGAATCAGTCATATTTCGCACTGATTAGCAGTAGAAATCTACTAATTGCCATAGCGAGAATTAAGCAACTGATAATTAGTAGAAATTTACTGATTCAATTAGTAAAATATAAATTACTGATTGAATCAGTAATATAAACATATGTCAGCGGCAGCAAAATCTACTGATTTAACAGTTAATTTTAAAGGTTATGTTATATACAAATTACTAATTTACATAAGTTATTTTCTATTGCTTATATATTCACTAATTATATTAGTAAATTTCAAAAAATAACTGAAACTTCAGTTAAAATGAAAAGTACTGATTGAATTAGTAAAATTTCTACTGTTTCAGATTTAGAGAGATAATAATAATAATAATAATAATAATAATATTTTTTAATTTAACAATAATTGTTATTTAATTAACTGACCTCAAAGTAATTATTATTGTTATAAAATACAAGGGATGTATATAGAAATTATTCAAATATTTCCTAAAATTAGAAAACGTTTAAAAGTACACGAATAATTTAAATTTTAATTAATTAATTTTAACTCATATAATTATAATTGTAATATAAATTAAAATTAATTACAATTATAACATAAACATTTATAAAAATTAACACAATATATAATTATAACATAACTAGGGGGGCTACGCTCACCTGCGAGTTTTGCGCGCCAACCTTCCATTATTTTTCACTTTAATGATTAATTTTTTAAAGGCTTACAAGTATTAAAATTATTATAATTTTAACCTTTTGAGGTTATGTTCGTTTCTTGGTTAGGAGAATTGGCAATTATGTTTATCGGACATAGCCTTAAACTCAACGTTCTCTTGACCTATGTCCTTGAATTTTGAGGTTATGTTTGAACTAAGGCCTTGAAACCTAAAAACCTATGCCCTAGAATTTTAAGGTTATGTTTGATTTCTGGTCTTGAATCCTAACCTAACCTAACCCCATGCCCTTGAATTTTAAGGTTATGTTTGATTTATAACCTTGAATACTAGAGACCTAGGACCTTGAATTTTGAGGTTATGTTCATTTTTAATACTAATATAGTTTACTAACTAAAAATGGTAAACCCAACCAATTTTTTCTCACAGTGTAACAATTTAATGAATAAAGGAAAAAAACTAATTAGAATACAATAAATAATTAATAAAATTAATTTTTGATTTCTATTTTTTTTTCTTTTGCAGATTAACAAATGTCTCGCAACCGGCAATGCTTGTGTCGCCAAGTCTCGCGACAGTTATGATTCTTGATGACGATCATAGTGGAATATTTGGATTTCCTGAAAGAGATGTGGAATTAGTTGAAAGCGTTGGACAATACAATTTGCGTGTAGTGCGATATAGCGGTGCAAGAGGACGTGTCGTTATTCCTTATCGAACAGTTGAGGGTACTGCCAAACCTGGCAAACAATACGAACATCTTGAAGGCACACTCACATTCGAGGATAATCAAACAGAGTAAGTGTGATTTTTTATTTTTTTTTTGCTTTCTAGAATAATATATTTTCTCTAAATTATTCCTTGTTTTATTTAACATTTAATTGGGAGAAATAATAAATAAAATATGTAATATTCAATTTATTACCCAAAAAAAATCATGCAATTGCAAAAAAAAAATTATATAATATAAAATAATTATATTATATTTATAATAATTTTTTTTTTGAGTATGGTTGAACTATATAAACTAGACTTAATATGAAAAGTGATATGACAAAAAAAAGAAATATATGGTAATTGAAGAATTCTAATAAAGCGATAAAAATCAGAACCTCAATATGTTTTTTTTTTCTCTCTCTCTCTCTCTCTCTCTCTTTCTGTCTCTCACCCTATATGTTTCTTTCTTTTTATTTTTTGTTGCATTTCAATAAAAACTTGATTTCAATTAACCTTCCAGTTGAAAGATAATTAAATTATAGTTTTTATTTTGTTCTCGATTGTTATCATTCTTTCTCTATAATAATTCTCCCTTATTTTTTCTTAATAAAATTGACCTTAAATCACTCTTTAATTAAGTTTTCCCCTTATATATTACAAATTTTTTTTTTCCTCGAACTTATATCACAAAAATCTTTAACACCAACGACTGTTAAAAAAACGTGTCTCATTTATCATGTAAAATCTTGTATCAGTAAGAAATTACACCTTTTTAATAAATAGTTCTTTTGTCCATATCTACATAATATTTATATCATGATTATTATTATTGTGAATATTTTAATTATTATTATGCTTATGATGATTATGATTATTATTGTCATTAAGATTATGATTATAAGTATAACTATGATTTTAATGACTACGACTATAATTATATTTATTATTATCATAATTTTTATGATTATTATTGTGATTATGACTATAATTATAATTATGATTACTATGATTATAATTATGATAATTTTTATGATAATTATTATGATTATGATTACTATGATTATAATTATATGATTATTACTATGATTACGATTATTATGATTATAATTATGATAATTTTTATGATAATTATTATGATTATGATTACTATGATTATAATTATGATAATTTTTATGATTATGATTAATACTGTGACTATTATTATGATTATTATTGTGATTATCATTATTATGGTGCTTATTATTATTATAATTATGATGACTATGATTATAATTATATGATTATTACTATGATTACGATTACTATGATTATAATTATGATAATTTTTATGATTATGATTAATACTGTGACTATTATTATGATTATTATTGTGATTATCATTATGGTCATAATTATATATTATATTATGGTGCTTATTATTATTATTATGATTATGATGACTATGATTATAATTATATGATTATTACTATGATTACGATTATTATGATTATAATTATAATAATTATTATGATTATTATTGTGATTATCATTATTATGGTGCTTATTATTATTATGATTATGATGACTATGATTATAATTATATGATTATTACTATGATTACGATTATTATGATTATAATTATTATAATTATTATTATGAATATTATTGTAATTAGGATAATAATAATTATTATTTTGATGATTATTATTGTTATTATGATTATTAGATATTATATGATAGAATTTTAAAAAATCTGAAGTAGTGATAAAAATAAAATTTAATATTTAGAAAAAAGAAGAAAAAATTGAAAAATACGAGAGATTACTTTTAAAAAATATTTATAAGGTTCTGTGTACAAAAATACATTTTCTAAATGACGAATTTTCAATTTAAATATTTCACATTTTGAAATAGCAAAAAAAAAAAAAAAATCTGGCAGCCCCCTGCGGGGGCGGCCACATTCTCATCACGCGCTTCGCGCGTAGGGGCTCGCTTCGCTCGCTAGTTTGAGCGCGCCCCGGGGCGCGCGAAGGATAATCGTCCCGCTTCGCGGTCCGATATTATTACGCGCTTCGCGCGTTTTGTTTGTTTATTACAATTCAAAACCTATTAGCATTAATTACTTTTTAACTACACTCTGTAATACAAAAATTTTCCTATTAAATTTAAAAATTGTATTAATTGTACTACCAGAAAGTAGTTGAATGACCCAAGAATCTATTTGGTAGAATGAGATTTTGTAGTTGTTTTAGACTTTGTAGTTGATTTAATTAATTTTGAAGTAAAATGTCAAGAAGAAAGAAATTATTTTTATTTATTTTATTAAAAAGAATAAAATTAATTACACACAGAGTTAAAATAAGTAAAAAAGTAGTTATTTTAAAAGTGGATGTTCATATAATCGATTTGTTTTGAAAAATTTATTAGAAACAACTCATAGTCTTTATTAAAATGCGTTAAATTAAATTATAGAAATAGGTAAGGTTTAAAGGTATTAGAATAAATTTTTTATCGGGCACTGAAGAATGACGGCACTGTAGCTGTTCAAACTTAGTTCCTTAATATTGCGCCGTGGATTGGCCAGGTCTTTGTAATTAACGAAAATCGACAAACCAAATTATTTACTAAAATAAGATATTCCGCTTTGAGCTAATTTCAATTGAGTAAAAGAAAAAATTAATTGAAGTGCGATTCGAGGTGAGATTTTGACTTTTTCGGAGTAGGTTAACCGATTGCAATGAAACTTTGGAATTTTGTTATATATAGTAAGACTAATCTTTAACGTAAATTTCAGCTTAAAATATTTGTTAGTTTACGAGATTTGCAATAATAACAAAAAATGCGAGTTTAACTTATTTAATTTTAATAATTTACGTGTATAAACAATTGCGATTTCTGCTAGTTGACGTGCAGACGTCATTGCGCACGCAGCATTCTCCTATAACTAGCTGACGTGATTCGTGGACTAAATTGGCTACGTGAGAATGCTGCGTGCGCAATGTCGTTAATGTTCCTTTGGAACATTAAAGAAAACACAGGTAAGATCATTTTAGCGTTTGAGTGATTGAATTTTAGATTGTCGCGTGAAATTTATTCAATTATTATTTAATAATTTTTTTAGTTGTAAAATTATAAAAAATTGTTCTGAAAGAGATTTATTCCTCTCATTTTCCTTGACATTTTAAAAAAAGTAGACCTCAATCCGATTATTAGAACGGAAGATATAGCACTTTAAAATTTTTTGTTATTATTGCAAATCTCGTAAACTAACAAATATTTTAAGCTGCAATTTACGTTCAAGATTAGTCTTACTATATATAACAAAATTCCAAAGTTTCATTGCAATCGGTTAACCTACTCCGAAAAAGTCAAAATCTCACCTGGAATCGCACTGAAAATTTAAAAACACTAAAAAAAAAGAACTTTAAAGTAAAAGCATTTTTTAAAGCAACAAATTTATTATATGAGGTTTTGCTCTCATGTTTTTATTCATAAAAATTTTTTTGTACAATTTATATAAGTGAAATTTTTGGTTTTTATAAATTAAATTTCATTTTCTTAAAGTACTTTGACTTTAAGGATAACATTCTCATCACGGCACTCGCGTTTCACGCTCGAAAATTAGAAACATACAATAGGAAAAGGAGGCATGCATTAACCTATTAACGAAATTTTTACAGGTAATTTGAGGCTCTCTCAAATAGTGTACTAAAAGAACCGAAAATTTTTAAATAAACAATTTACAAGCATTAAAAAAAAGATTTTTTTAGAATTTTTGTTCAGTTTTTATAATTTTTCAAATCTTATCCCTTCAGAATACCTTTAAATGCTAAAAATATGGTGTAAAAAATGTTCCAATACGCCATTTTGAATTTTTAAAAACTGACTTCAGAATCGTAATGAGCGACCTACACACCAAGGAGTAGAAAGATTTATTTAAATTTGTTAAAAAGATTGTTGAAAAATGAATTTTCTCTTAAAAAATATCAATGTTTATACTTAGTTAATTCATAATTCTTTATAATTTCGCCTGCAACACTTATTATTTTTGTTTCACTTCACAATGCTTTCGTTATAGTGGAAAAAATGTTTTAGGAATACTGCTTCAAAAACTTTAAATCTAGAGATGAAAGTTGCCCTGGCGGATTCGATTTGCGTAATGTCTACTTAACTAAGCGGACTTTAGGTAGACATTAGGTAGACATGTAAAAAAACGTATAAAAAAGCTATTAATCGACTTATTATGATAAAAAAAAGTTGATAAAAGGGTAAATGAATGTTTATAGAGTAAATTCGTACAAAATTTGTAATTAATAAAGCAATAAATAATTAATAATGAATGGAAATGTGCGCGAGGTACCTGATCAGTTCAGCTGTACAATTATTTTCGTGCTATTTTCATGAAAAGAATATAAATTAACTGCAAAAACAATTGATATTTATAAAAAAGTGTAAAATTGATTTAATTTTAGTGTTTGCAATACGAATTATTAAATAATAATTAAGTTTTTATTAAATGTGAATAGTGTTGTGAAAACCTGTGAAAACTAATGAGTTACTACATTACCGATCGCATATGATAATAAAAAGTTCTCGATGAGTGTAACAAAAAAGCTGCAATCATGTCCGTAATTTTGGACGAGAAACAATTATGAAATCAATAATTATTTGTATAACTTTATTCTGCATTTTAAAATTCACTTTTTATTTTCTTTCAAAGCAAAAGCTAGGAAGAAAACATGCTCGCACTGTATTGTAAAAACTGGTGGCGCCATCTCTCATATGCGATCGGTAATGTAGTAACTCATTAGTTTTCACAGGTTTTCACAACACTATTCACATTTAATAAAAACTTAATTATTATTTAATAATTCGTATTGCAAACACTAAAATTAAATCAATTTTACACTTTTTTATAAATTCCAATTGTTTTTGCAGTTAATTTATATTCTTTTCATGAAAATAGCACGAAAATAATTGTACAGCTGAACTGATCAGGTACCTCGCGCACATTTCCATTCATTATTAATTATTTAATGCTTTATTAATTACAAATTTTGTACGAATTTACTCTATAAACATTCATTTACCCTTTTATCAAC